CACAGGCAGTTCTGGCCAAAGGGACAGATTGGTCAAGAACCCAGGATGGGGGAGGCGCAGCCTAGGAGAAGGAGCGGCGGCGGGTAGGAGCTGGAAAGGCTGACAATGCCAGCAGGCCAGATGATGTTGCCAGCAGCCGGGGTTGTCTGCCGGCAGATCCAGAACAGCCAGGGTGGGGCCGTGCTCTCCCCATGGCTGCTCACCAGTCCCCGAGGAGCATTTAAAACCCCTGCCCCTCCTCAGCGGGACACTGGGGCCACACAGAGGACAGAGGGTAGGAGGAAGGCCAGGGTGTGTGGCATGGGCAGGCAGGGGACCCTTCAGACCTCCGTCTACCCATCTCCAGCATGCCTGCTTCAAAGACCCTGTCCTGTAGAAAGACAGGAGGACCCCAGAGCTACAACACTGTGAGCTCGGCCGGGAGTGCTGGAGGTAATGGCAGCCCTGTGGGTTTCAGGGTCAAGATCTTTCCAGACCCTCCAAGGCCAAGGCGGGCGTTTATGGAATTGTTACTGAGTGCCTTAATGTGTCGCCGCTGGCTTTCAAGTTTAACCCCACTGGCTTTTCCTCAGCCACAGTCCTTGCTTCATTCACGGAGTGTGCACCTGCTCCTCCTACCGACTTCACCTGTCCTGGTCCTGGGCTGTCGCAGGGACTGTCCCCACCCTGGATAAGCTTTCCTGCAGGGGACGTAATGTGGGCACAGATGGAGGGACTCATTTGGGGAGCACACTGGAGCTGGATGATTCCATGCAGGAAATGAAAAGCAAGCAGAGTCAAGGAGAGGTCCTCCCGCTAGGCTAGTCGTGGTCAAACCCCCTGGAGAAATAAGCGTGCCTCCCACACACACTAATAGGGAAAGAGCATTCCATAAGGGGAATCTTCAGTGCAAGTGTCCTGAGAGGAGTCCTTGCATCTGGGCTGACGAGTCCTAGCTGGGGAAGAGGAGAGTGGACCAGGGCAGCTGCCCATGCCTAGTTTTCAAGTTGTTGGGTACCACTGAAGCCTTGTAACTGGACAGTCTGTTAAATTATGTTTATCATTTGATTTAGAGTATCCAAAGATACTATATACATATATATACTCTATACACATACATGTATATATGTATTTATGTACATATAATAAAACAGGAGTGTGTGTGTATATGTACTCTCTCTCTCTCTCTCTCACACACACACACACACACACACACACACACACACACACACAGGAAGTTTGGCCAGGTCACTTTACCTTTGCTTTCCTTAAACTAGGTATGAAAAATGGGGCGAGTGACAAGAAGAGCATCCTTTAGGAAGTTGCCTTTGGTGCATGGAGATTACATCTGCCAGGCACAATCTCCAGAGAGTGAGAGATGACCTGGTGGAGAGCAGTTCTCCGCTTGAAATAAAATGGATGAGAATTAAAAGGTACAATATAGGCAAGTGACTGGGAGCTAATCTCCGCCTGCCTCGGTGTGCAAGAGTGCGAACATTAAGAATCAGGATTCTCAGGAGCAAGATTAAAGAAACAATCGTCAGGCCTTTCAAATTCTCGTTCCAATGAACTGTTTTCAGCTGCGTCTTAATGCTTTCTTTGGTTGTTCCCGGCAGGGCTGTGTCTCTCTTAAATTCATCTGCTGAGTTGTTTAGAAAACTCAGGGAGAAGCTTGTGGGTTTCCCAGTGTCTCCCTTACCTGCTTTGGCTCCCGAGGCCAGGCCTCAGCCCAGCCAGCCCCCCATACTCCCCATCCTGACTCTTCTCCTTACCTCCAGATTGCCCAGGAAGCATAGATGCTATATAGGACTGACTGCTCTATGGCTAAGATTCCAGATTCTCTAGCTATATGATTATGATCGTTCAGTTTCTGAAAGAAGCAGATAAGATGCCAGCGCAGTCCAGCCCTGGGCTGAGTGTCCTGCTCACTGCTCTGTTGGGACACAGCTTTATATTCACCAGGAGGTGAACTGCTTGTAACTGACAAAAGTATTGTTTTGTTTCTGAGCTTTTCCTCCCTCCTAAACCAGTTATTCATTTCACATCCCCGCCTTATTTTAAACCCTGTAAAGGTCTAAAAACAAACAAAACTCCAGCACCCAACAGAACGGGAAGGGCTTCAGACACCTGTGTGCCGGTTTTCTCATATAAACACCCTGACGCCCAAATGTCTAGAAGGTTCAGCCATGAGGATTACTCCCTTTGCCTTTCAAGCTTTCAAGGAAAACATGTTCATTCTATAAGACTGCTTCTCAGACACCAGCAGCTTGTGGGTTGGTTAATTAGATCTCCCAGATGGGAATTTAGTTTTTGGGGTCGTTCATGAGATTGACTGGAGTCCAGTGTTAGCCAACAGAAGGCTGCGGCGTCTGGTTTTGGAGGACCCTAGGAAAGGGGCAGAGAAGTAACGAGGGAATGAAGGTGACATGCTTTATGGAAAATGGGTGGCGGTCACAGGCTCTGTCCATCGCTTCTCCCTGCCCGCCACCCCTGGCAGAAGTGTCTCCCACCCCACCCGTCGTCTCCTGCAGTGCTAGGGTGCCTCGGCACACCTCAGTGCAGCTTCCGTGGCTCCACACAGGCAGTGACCCCCAAGACTTCAGCCCTAGCCTTTCTGCATGTAGTCCATTCTAGACGTCGCTCACCAACCACCTGTGTTCTCCAGTTCTAGGTACGGTTGGGCTCTGGGTTCCTCGTCTGTACGCCTGAGCCCCACATTCTTAACTTACCCTCTTGCTTCCAGGAGGTACTCACGTCTTGCTGGACTCTGCCCTCCCTTGTCCTGTCTTGATAAGTCACTCAGCTCTGACCTTCGTCCCTGTGCCATCCTGCATATTACATCTGGGTGGGGTCTTTACTGTCACCTGCTACTCAGATGACTCTCAAAGATCCCTGCGTTAGCCTGTACACAGCAGTCCTCAGTCTGGCCCTGCCTGGTCTTTGCATCTCTTCTTCTAAGATGTTGAAGAAAAATGCAGTGTCTCTCGTTGTGGATTTCAGTTAAATTACTTATCCAAGGTCATACAGTAAGTACCCAGAAGAACTGGGCTTTCAACCCAGGCATCTGTGACCCTGGAGCCTAAATTACTTTGTCGCCATGCTGTGCCACTTTGCAGACTCCAAGAGATGCCAATAGCTGGAGCCTCAGTGTTGCCTAGCCATGGCTGAAAATGCAGCACCTCGGGCTCACCCCACGCTCATGTGAACTCTCCTGCTCCATCTCTTTGTACCCTCCCTTTGCATGTGTGCTTTGAGTTTTCTTAGCTTGGTAACTATGTAACCCAGCCAGCCCTGGCACAGTGGTTATGTGTATAGTCTCTGAAGCTAGATTTTGGGGGACTAAATCCCAGTTGGCCATATATTACCCCTGTACAGTTCCAGGCAGATCATTTAACCTCCTCCTGTCTCAGTTTCCTTATCTGTAAGGTGGGGATAAATATAGTACACATTCACCCGTTGGAGTTGTTCAAGAGGTTTAACAAGTTGCCGTACATCCTGCCTGGGCACCCAGAGAAAGTGTCCAAAAAGCCTGGCCAGACAGATGATAGTATAGCCTATAGCTTTAAACCATGGACTTTGAGACCCTGAGAGGGAGTGTGTCCCCTTGGGAAATGTCCCACCATAAATAATCCTGGGTGCCAATGGGGCATGGCCCTAAATGCTTTCACCCAGGAAGGAGCAAGGAAGAGAAGCCAAGACAAACCCAGGAAATGTCTGGTGGCCAGAGCCTGGGGTCGTGGGGGCTGAGGGCCACAAAGCTTCCTTGTGGGGTAGGGGTGGGATTCACAGCCAGTCCCCTGCCACCCTGCCCCTTGCATTTCTTCAAGTTCACATCCATACCCAAATCATGAAGTCTGAAGCCCAAACCATAGCTGTCTCCTCCTCATGGCTGGGCGCCACCCAGACTTCCCAGCCGGAGCTCCCCTCCCCACCTCTCCCACTGGCCTGTGCAGGGTTCTTTGTGTGGTGGAGGGTTTCCCACTAAAGCAATTCATTCTTTTTCTCAGTGACCCCTAATCTTCCCAGCAAATGCTTGCATTTCAAGTAGAAGGCGAGTGCAGACAACTCATCTATAATTGGTGGGTGGAGGGGGCATTTAGTTTTCTTTGCCGGATGGACTTTCCCAAGCCCTGATATCTCCACCCCTCCACCCTCAACTCTCTCCGCACAAGGGAGCTGGGATACAGCAGAGGATGGTCCTGCCTGGGATAAGGCTAAAGAGGGCAGTTTCTAGGTGTTTCCATTTCCTTGATCCATTAAGTTACTTCACCAGTTTTATGCTGATTTCCTGACACCATTTGCTTTCCAGCATCAGAGATCCTAGACAGAGTCATTCGGGGCTTCTCGTTGGAATACATTTAACTTTGTAAAAACCGGCCACATTGTTCTTAGGTTTCCGTTTGGCCAGGGCACCAGGGAAGGGCATGAGAAACTAGCCCAGCTCTTCCATGCAGTTTCAAATAGCACAGACGAGAGCCTTAGGGATTCACTGTTAATAGTTGATGACCCTGTTTGTTTATCACCCTGCCATGACCGTTCTGCAGAGGGTGTGGCACAGGAAAGGACACTGGGGGAGGCTGAGGCTCAAGAAAGAGGGAGGTTGGGAGCTAGTGAGGGCAGGAGGAGCAGTCACCCTCACACGTGGCCTTCGTCTTCCCAGAGTATTCTGGAAATTTGTGTGTGTGTGTGTGTGTGTGTGTGTGTGTGTGTGTGTGTGTGTGTGTTAGGCTGGTGGCATGGCAGCACTTGGCTTTCACATGAGCTCCCATCCATGAGGTCTTACCCTCCAAATATTCTTCTGGGGTCTGGCTTCCTCCCCTGAACACCCCACTCTGCCCAATCCCTAAACCCAAGACTCAAGCAAAGACCAATGCGTTGGCGTGTGGGAATCAGCGGGAGACTTCCTCCTGGGAAGAACAAGGCCCTTGGCCCTTCAGCCCTAGCTTCTTTCCTCATAAGGCCTGGGTCCCTGCAGCCTCCTGAGAAGGCTTCATTCCTGGGCTTTTCTTTCCCCATTCCAGGTGTGTGCGGCTGCTGCGGCGCTCTTCGTCCCAGATACAAGAGGCTGGTGGACAATATCTTCCCCGAAGATCCTGAGGTGGGTCCCTTTAAGGGTGTGTGGGCTGGTGACTGGGGAAGGCCTTGGAGCAGCAGCTCCTCCGGTCCACAGCCTGGGAACGGTGAGTGGCATTGTCCCATGGAGAATGAGGACATCGACTCTTCTGAAGGCTGGGTGTGCAGAAGGCTGTTAGGAATGTGTTGGCATGAGAACTAGCCCTTCTCACCCCGTCTCAGTCGCTCACTCTCCTGATGGAAATGTTTTCCTGTCAGTTAGTGAAGATGTGCTCCTGTCTAGCGTTTGGCTCGGGAACCCGTGTCTCTCCGCAGCTCCCTCTGGCATCTGTCAGGTGTCTGGCTGTGCATTGCACAGGAGGCCTGGCTGCGTGGCTTCCAAGCTGTCACTGTGTGTCACACTGTGTTATGCATTGTGGTCTGAGGATGTCAGGATTTGATGCCTCGGTATTTGAGAATTGCTGGCCTCTTCCGGATGGGCAGCTGGAGAACCCCATTTCCATTATCCTCTGGAGAATTCCCTAGGAGCTGCAGAGTCTCCTTCTTCGAGTCTTGGTAGTGACTATCCATGCACCTGAGTTACTGTCAATGATGCTGTGTCCTTCATCCACACCCACATTAATGCACATACACACATACATACACAGGCACACACAGACCTGCCTCTGTCGATATATGTGTGTGTGTGTGTGTGTGTGTGTGTGTGTGTGCGCGCAAGTGCACTTGTCTGTGCATGCATGTATGGAGGCAGAGATTGACGTCAAGTGCCTTCCTCACCCTCCACCATGATTTTTGAGACAAGTCACTCACGGAACCTAGAGCTTGCTGTCGTGGTTAAACTGGGGCCAGTGAGCTTCAGGGAGCTCCCTGTTTGCACGCCCACCCAGCTCTTAAGAAGCTTTTAGGCTACATGAGCTGCTGTGTACAGCTTCTACATGGTTGTGGGGAATCTGAACTTAGACCCTCATGCTCACATGGCAAGCACTATGCTATAAAGTGTCTCCCCAGCCCCATGCTTGGAGGACAGAAATGCTGTTTTTGTCATTTCCATATTTCTGATGTCCAGCATCTGCATAATAGACGCCTTGCAAACGTCAGCTCAGTTGAACTGATATTGTGCCTCACTGTATCGGGGCCACGGTGATTTCGAGCTGTCTGTCTTCTACAGGATGGTCTGGTGAAGACCAACATGGAGAAACTGACCTTCTACGCCCTCTCAGCTCCGGAAAAGCTGGATCGCATTGGTGCCTACCTCTCCGAGAGGCTCATCCGAGACGTGGGGCGCCACCGCTATGGGTAAGTCACATAAGTAGGAACGACATCAGTTTTCAGAAATTGCATTTTATTTTTAGGGTAAGATAGTGCAATAACATCAAGAAAAAGGGGTATGGGGTGAGTTATTGGATAGACTGAGACCAAGGAAGGTGAGTTTGCACATGCTCCTCCAGAAGCAGATGAACGTAGGTGAGGCTGTGGACATTTGGGGAGAGGCTATGCTGGCTCCGAAAGAGAAGCCACTTAGTACCCATCGGGTTGTCGCGAGTCCACATAGAGCTTACACAGCCAGTCTGCCTGTGTTTATTCTCACCAACCCGCCTTCCTTCCCTGTCTGAGAGAGTGAGGTGGAGCCAGCAGTGTTGAGGAGGAGAGCTTGGAGTGGTTTGTCCACTAAAAAACACATAAGGAAAGGACTGGAACGTAGCTTAGTGAGTGTCTGGCATGCTCGAAGGCCTGGCTTCAACCTCTAGTGCCACATCAACCAGTCCCGGTGGAGCACACCTGTGATCCGAGCACTTGGGCGTGGAGGCAGGAGGATCAAGAGTTCAAAGTCATCTCCAGCATCAGAGCAAGGCTAGCCTAGGAAATGTGAGCGGCCATCCCAAAACAAGACAAAAATACACGTTAGTGGAAAATTTATCGTCTGAGAGGAAAGGACTTCATGTGTTTAACAGAGAGAACTCTTAAAGTGATCAATACATTTAGCTGTTTAAATTTCCTCCCCTGTCCCCCACCACCCCCTATCCCATCCCCTTTCTGCTCCCCAGGGAGGGTGAGGCCTTCCATGGGGGATCTTCGAAGTCTGTCATATCATTTGGAGCAGGGTGTAGGCCCTCCCCTGCGTGGCTCCCAAAGTCCATTTGTGTACTAGGGATAAATACTGATCTACTACCAGAGGCCCCATTGATTGCCCAGGTCTCCTAACTGACACCCATGATCAGAAGGTCTGGAACAGTCCTATGCTGGTTTCCCAGCTATCAGTCTGGGGTCCATGAGCAACCCATTGTTCAGGTCAGCTGTTTAACTCTTGATGTTGATTTTTTTAAGGTGGTTTCTGTTTTTGTTTTTTTGGGTTTGTTTTGTTTTTTAGTTTTTCAAGGCAGGCTTTCTCTGTGTGGCCCTGGCTGTCCTGGAACTCACTTTGTAGACCAGGCTGGCCTCAAACTCAGTGAGATCCGTCTGCCCTTGCCTCCTCAGTTCTGGGATCAAAGGTGTGTGCCACCACCGCTCAGCCAAAACCATTAGATTTTTAAAACTGAACACCAAAGATCAGCATTACCCACAAATACGATGAAGAATTCAAGGTTGCACATTAGTAACATTGAACAAATGGTCCTGGGAGTCAGGAGAGGGACAATTGGGGTAAGGAGTTCAAAGGGTCCACTCTGAGGGCCGCTGTCACCCAGGCAGCATTCAGACTTACAGTTCACTCCCAAACTACCGGGTCATCCTATCACATTAACTGTTTTTCTAAAAGTTAATATTCCAGTACTAACCAGGAGATGGGGGGTCGGGGGAAGGAGGCATTTTCACACTATCCTGGAAAGAGAACAATTGGTTAAATTTTCTAGGTCATGAGATGTGTGTCTAGATCTTCAAAACTGTGTGTGTCCTTTTGCCCTTTTCTGCCCATCGAAGGCTTCCCAGGAAAACATCTCAGAACCTCTACCTGGTGCATGGAGACTTTCTTTTTGCAGTGTTTTTGTATGCCTCAAAAAAAAAAACCCAATTAAGTCTCAAGTTGTCCAGGCTGCCGTCAAACTGGCTACGTAGCCGAGGACAGCCTGGGAGTCTTGTACCTCTTGACTTTGCCTCATAAGTGCTGGGATACAATTGTGGGGCGCCATGCCCAGACCATAGTGCTTTTTACAACAATGAAACACTAGAAACAACTTAAGAGTCTGGCAGAAGAAAGCTCTAGTAAGTTATGGTTTGTATCGTTTGATAAGATGCTATCTAGGTAATAGAAATGGTGTTTATAAAGATCCATATCTAATGATATTAAAAGTACAAAAACAGACTATAATGGCCACATACAAAGTATTTAGGGTCAAGTTAAATATATATATATATATATATATATATATCAACAAACCTCAGTGGCTAAAAAATAAAGTCCAAATGCCAATGCATTCAGAGCATTCACCCTGGGAGTGTCACAGTTGGGGGACTTCTGTTTGTTTGTTTCATTGTGTTTTCTGTTCCCTAAACGTGGACTGTTGGGCATGATTTACTTCATGCTTGCTGCTGCCCTGCCATGATGACACAGTTCATAGGTCAAGTAGCTCACCCCGAGAAGCCTAGGTAGCATTATTTATTCCTGGGGCAGAGGGTTGAGTTCTTGATGGGCAGTCATGGTTCCTGACCCTATGGATCCCACTCTGCCCGAGTCTTTCTCTCCATCCTCCTCTTCCCACTGCTCCTGACATTTTCTTTTTCCTTCTTTTTGGGGGGGGGTGAGAAGGAAGACAGGGTCTCATGTGTCCAAGGCTGGCTTTGAACTCAGTATAGCTAAGGATGAACTTGAGCTTCTAACCCTCCTGCCTTCACCTCTCCAGCACCGGGCTATAAGCATGCTCCACCACACCAGGTTTTTGTGGTTCTGGAGACAAAACCAGGGTCCATCCATGGTAGGCCAGTGAAGGACGGCCTCACCCCTGCTCCTGCCCTTCTCTTGGTTAAGGCTTTTAATTGGTTAAGTTCGGGAGATTACAATAGGAGCCCGACCTGTCTGCCCGCTGTCAAGTCCTTCTGTTTGGTCTCCCCAAGCCAATATATAATAATTATCACAGTATATAGAATATGTAGGCATGCTCTTCAACTCAAAGACTAGAATCTTTAGTCTTTAGAATCAACTCCAGAGCTGGGCAGTGGTTGTGCACAGCTTTAGTCCCAGCACTCTGGAGGCAGAGGCAGGCAGATCTCTGAATTTGGGGTCAACCTGGTCTACAGAGTGAGAGCCAGGACAGCCAGGACTACATAGTGAGACTCTGTCTTCAAAAACCAGAAACCAGAAACAAACAAACAAAACTCCAGGTTCCTCAAACTTCTAGGGTCTTCCACCACCCAGCCACGCCCACCACTATTATATAACCAATACCAGACAGACTGTTTGAACAGTCCTGAGGTTGAGGAACCAAGGCTCATCCACAAATGCTGGGGTGGGGGAGAAGGCGGGGCATCACACTGAGGCTTTGTGTACACTAAGGATGCGCACTACCCCCAGCTCTAGTCCCCCCCCCCCCCCCGGCAAATCTTAAACCAGGCTACCCTTTATGTGAAGACAAAATGCAAACTAATGCTTCCATGATCGTTCTCTATATAGCAAGTGTAGGTTGCCACTCAAGAAGAGGAGGAACATGAATTCTTTGCATATACTGATTATATGAAGAGACTTGATGTACTGTCGTGCATATTCAAACAAGTAAAAACGGCTTTCTCCTAGACAGAACCAAAAGCTAATGTGCCAGTGAGAGCATTAAACATTTAATACCGATTCCGCCAGAGCCTCTGCAGTGATGTTTCTTGTGATTAAAAATGTCCATAGCTGACAGCCTCTTCGAATCCTTCCTCTGCTTGTGGAATGACAATTCAAAATTGGCATCATCCTGTTAAAAATAGCCCTCGCAGCATCTAGGTATTTAAAGCCCACGGGAGGACTTTGATCATGAACATTTGGAGAACTGTCTGTTAGGATCTTTTTTTCTCCTGCCCCTCTGTATCTCCCTGCCCAACACCCTGATCTCTTCCTTGTCATGGGTGGGAGCCTGAAAGAGCAACATTTTCACATCAGGCAGCGTCTTCCTAGCATGATAAGGGTATCTATTTGTGGTTTGCTCCTGTCGGTGTGAACCCTGGATATGGATCCCCATGAGCCCCAGAGGCACCTCCTCGCGGCCACTGACTTCCTGCATTGTCACTCTGACACTGCCATAGGGGGTCCTGATTCGTGAGTGTCTGACCCCCAAGGACGCCAGTTGTGAGCAGGGGGAAGATGGGGGCATTTCCAGATGCCACGGAGCAAAACCCCAGCATTTCCCATGCGTCTCTCCTTCCTCTCATTCTCTTTCCAGATGAGCCTAGTGTCCCTAGGAAACAGGGGAACAGGGAAGGGAATGGCAGTGCCGAGTGAGACAGGTCCTCAAGGGGCACCGGGGGTGGGCCTCAGCGTGCAACATGACATATTAGACCGTCTCTGGGGTCCCCATGTCTGCTGTTCTGCACCAGTCCAGGACTGAGAACCGAGGATGCAGACCAGGACGTGGGGCTGCTTCAGCCTGAGGACCCAGCCTGGCCTCAGCATTGCCTCCTAGGAGGATCCGAAGCTGGTGGGAGAGTGGGCCGACCCTTCAGAACGTGCACTGCAGACTCCTGCTAGGTGCGGAGGGGCGCTCTTCCTAAGCTGGAGCCAAAACTGTCCTCCCTGCTCCCAGACTTCTTAAAAACGCGTTTCAATTCAGGAATGGGCTGACTAAATATACACAGACCTTTGAGGGACGACCCGCATCCCTGACCCCAGGTCCATCTCGTCTCCCGTCTGGGTGGGGCTCCCAGCCGGCTCTTCCCGCTCTTCTCCTTGCGCTCCAGACCTTTTCCTGGGTTCTCTGGCTACTTCTGACTGGAATGAAGTGTCCAAGCAGAACCAGCCCTCCCAGGAACTCCATCGAAGGACTTCTCACTTGACTCACAGGCACCAGGAACCCTGGGTATTTTCCTTCTGTGTTGGTTCCTGATCTTGGCTTCTTCCGGTTGTAACCTGCCCAGCGTCTTCCCCTGCTGCCCGAGGTTCCGGGTCACGTGTGTCCTGTCTTCTTCATCTTCCATGTGGGAAGTCCACATGGTATATTTGGGGTTGATGTTTGCTGCTGCTGCAACTTGTACCTTCCCCCACAGCCCAGCTTCATCCTAGCCCACTCTTCTCCAAGTATCCAAGAAGGCCAGCTTGGACTCGGACCTATTACTACTCTGGACCCCTTGAATGAAGAACTTAGGTCTCTGATGGTGGTAACCTTGTCATGGGAATCCTGTTGATGGACAGTACCCCCCAAATCCCATGCCCTGGTCTAAGAGCATAGGACTGACAGGCAAGGCACATGGGGAAGGTGGTGATAACACAGAACAAATGCCAGGCGTTGGTGACGCACGCCTTTAATCCCAGCATTCGGGAGGCAGAGGCAGGCGGATCTCTGTGAGTTCAAAACCAGCCTGGTCTACAGAGTGAGTTCCAGGACAGGCTCCAAAGCTACAGAGAAACCCTGTCTTGAAAAACAAAAACAACAAACAAACAAACAAACAAACAAAAACCATAGGACAAACACTGAGATCTTTTGGGGGGTAGTGTCCAAATTCAAGTGCCATTTGTAGCATTGGGATCAGAAATGGAGCATCAAGGGTACTTATGCCCTATGTTTATTTCTTTATATTTCTATTTCAATTCTACTGTTATGTTTTTTCACTTTATACCAAAATCTCTAGTCTTGGTCAATAGTCTATTTTTTTTCTAATAAAGAATATGTTTTTTTCTTTCTTATCAGGATATTCTAGATATGCCTCCCCCCACCCTGAAAAAGCAATGATGTTCTAGGACTTGGGAGGTCTTCTAGTTTCTTCTCTTGCCTCCCACCTCACCCCTTCCTTATTTACTTCATTTAAGTTCTGTTATAAGTAAGATGCCAGCAGAAAAATGCTAGCATGATCCATTGACAAGGGGGGGTAGATTTCTCTTTGCCTACCGTTATTTTCTAACCATCACTGGGTGACTTGAGCATGTCCAGGTGTCCCTACAGGGAAGCCTCCCTGCACCCCCTGGTGCTTGTCCTCTCTGGCCTGACCCTTCCTGACCCTTCTGGCAGGGGCCCCAGCCTGTCAGCCAGTTTTCTTTTCCAGCTGGGTGACTTGAACTCTCTGAAATGCCAGGCCTGCAGGAGGTGTCTTAGCTGTGACCATGCCAGTCTGTGGAGATCAAGGTTATAGAGGATGGGGCACGTCTATCCTGGTTAGGAGGAATGCCAAGCCAGCGCTCCCACTCACCAAATGACTTCTAAGAGTCAATGCTGTCTTTGTGTTCCTAAGCCACCACAGAGCTGGGGCTGCGGGCTCTGTGATAGTGTGCCTAACAAGCACGGGCAAAGCCCTGCGTTCCACCCTAACCCCCCAAGAAAAAGGACCTTATAGATAAAGGGATGACATGATCCAGTTTTCAGTATATTCAGAAATGACTATTTCATAATCCTTAATAATTGAATCTAGTAATATTCAAGGATTTAATATTTAGCTCAGCTCATAGAGATTAGAGAAATAAATTTCATAAAAGTGGAAAAGATTCAGAGTATAAAGGCTTTTTTAATGGCTATTTTGTACAGAAGTAAGTGCAAGGGTGTTTAAGAACTGGTGCTCGATGTCTGTTTAGAACCAAACCTAAGGTCTGGAGAGATGGCTCCGTAGGTAAGATCACAGGATGCTCTCCCAGAGGACCTGGGTTTGATCTCCAGCCCCCACAGGGCAGCTCACAACCGTCTGAAATTGCATTTCCAGGGAATTCGATGTCCTCTTCAGGCCCCCACGGGCACCAGGCACACCCATGGTGCACAGAGAAGCATGCAGGCAGAATACACGTATGCATAAAACAAATAAATCTTTAAAAAATTAAAAACAGACTTAGAAGACACTGTGGATTCTGTTACTTTGTGTGGATGTGGAAAGTTGTCTTGGCTCAGGTGGCTTACTACACGGTTTCTGTAGCTGGATGGCCACCACAATAAGCACCGTTAAGGCCTGGATGAGGCCAGGTGGTCCCTCTCAGGCATTTGCTTTATTGACCCAAACTTTTTTTTTTTAAGACCAAAACAAAAAAAAAAAAAAGATCAAGAGTTTATAAATATCTGCTCCCTGTTCAAAGATGAATCTGATCTGGATTGATCGCTGGGCTCGTTCTTTGTTGAATATGTAGCACGTGAACTTGACCGGGAAGCCTTAACATCCTTCAGCACCCCTCTCTGTGTCACCTGACTCTCAGTTCCGTGCTGGAGTGAGCACGTGTCAGAAGCACGGCACGGACACGGGCAGCCCACAGAGGCATCTCCTTCCCCAGATGCTGCCCTATCCAGGGGTGACAGCGGGAGAGGGCAGGGCAAGACTGAGTGACGCCTCTGTGCCTCTGTCCTCAGGTACGTGTGCATCGCCATGGAGGCGCTGGACCAGCTGCTCATGGCCTGTCACTGCCAGAGCATCAACCTCTTCGTGGAGAGCTTCCTGAAAATGGTGGCCAAGCTGCTCGAGTCGGAGAAGCCCAACCTGCAGATCCTCGGCACCAACTCGGTGAGGGCTGGGGCTGGGCATGCTCTCGTTGGGATGGGTTAGATGACTCTGGATTGGGCTGTTTCAGAATCACTTGATTTCTGACTCATGCTGTGGTGGACCCCAGCCATAACATATTTCATTGGTACTTTGTAACTGTTGCAACGTAAACATCTGATATGCAGATATCTGATATGGGACCCCCCCAAAGGGGTCTCCCCCACAGGTTGAGAACCGCTGCCCTAAGCACAATATGCTCTCTTTATGTGTGCAAAGAGGCATTGAGTTTTTAATTTCAGTAAATATACTATTTACGTGGGCATATAATAAAATACTAAAAAATAAAACCCACTGAAGCTGGAGAAGTGTCTCGGTTTGATTCCCAGCGCCCATCTGGGGCTGCTCACAACCTACCTGTGACTCTAGCTCTAGGGAAATCTCTGGATTCCTCAGGCACCTGCGCTCATGTGCAGACACACACATGTATGCATGTAATTAAATATAATATAGTAAATCTCAAATATAAAAGTCATGGACTGGGTACGATGACACACACCTTTCATCCTAGCACTGGGGAGGCAAAGGCAGGTAGGTATGTGTGAGTTCAAGGCCAGCCAAGGCTTCATAATGAAACCCACCTCTCAAATAAATAAGGTCCTGCTCTTTAGACTGAGGACTAACTTTTTTCCCCTGATAAGTTGTTATCATAAATAATTATCAGTTTGGACCCAAGAAGTGGGAAGGCATGGCTGAACCTGGGTCATTCTGTGGGGATTGGAGGTGCCCAGGGCCCTTCCGACTCAGCATTCCATGGGACACCACTGAAAGCTGGTCTCGGCTATATGCCCGTTAGCAATAATGCCCACACATGAAGACCCCAGACAAGTGAAGACTGTGGGGATGCAAGAAGCGGGCTGTGGACTTAGCCCCGCCCCTTCCCACTGGCTGATTTCTGTGGGCTTTGGCATTTCTACCAAAATCTCAAGTGATTGGACTTAGTCTCTGCGGGTCCCCTGGGCTCGGTTGCTGGTTACCGTTCAAGCAGATGCTACCCCGACATGCTACGGTTTATGAGAGAAGGCAGTAGGCACGCTAAGAAGTTCCACTGTAACATGTGTGTAAGTATTCTCCATGTCACGGTGCTCTCTTTAAGCTTGCCTTTGTCTTAGGCCCTCCTCTTAGCACATACTTTAAGCTCCGGATCTTTTTTTTATATATATAATAACAGCCTCTCAGCGTGTTGTAGCAAGGGGTGCGTAATGTCGGCACTGTACTCTTTTTTTTTTAAAGATTTATTTATTTATTAAATATACATTGTTCTGTCTGCATGCATCCTTCAGGCCAGAAGAGGGCAGTGCCAGATCTCATTATGGATGGTTGTGAGCCATCATGTGGTTGCTGGGAATTGAACTCAGGACCTCTGGAAGAACAGTCAGTGTCTTAACCTCTGAGCCATCTCTCTAGCCCCAAAGCTCCGGATCTTTAAGCCGTTTACATGTCACTATTTTATAGCTTTAGTGAGTCCTTTATCTTTCTGCAGTGAGAATAGAAAAGTAGCAGGTTTTTCCCTCGGTGCTCCCAGCTAGGTGTTTCTGAATATTTCCTTAACTTCTTTATATTTATTGATTTCCTTGGTGTGTGTGTGTGTGTGTGTGTGTGTGTGTGTGTGTGTGTGTGTGTGTGTGGACATGAATTTGCCATAGTGAGCATGTCAAAATCAGAGGACAAATCACAAATGTCACTTCTCTTCTCAACACCTTCCTGGTCCCGGGGTTTGAACTCAGGTCATCAGGCTTGGCAGCAAGCCCCTGTGCCTGCTGACCCATCTTGCTAACCCTATTTCTGAATTTTTAATCACACCGGTCATGACTTTTTTCCTGCTCTATGGAAGAGTGGCTTTAACTGGAAGAAAGTCTTCTACGTTTTCTTCAAATGACCCAAAGTGACAGTCCTTCCCTTCCCCTCCCCTTCGCCCCAGCTGCCTTTGACAAATTGCATATACAGCAGCCAAGGGTGAAGCCCTTTGTCACGTTGCCCTGGCAACAGCTTCGTGTACTCTTTTAGTTGTCTTGTTTAAGATAACTACAGTCTGGGAAAGAACATCTGCATGGAAAATAAACTAGTCATCCTGGATCCACAGAGGGGCCACAGAGCAGGTGGCCGACAGCTCTTGCTTTTCTCAAAGTAAATCCTAGCCCAGGACAGGTATTTATGCCACCTTCTCTGAATCCATCCCCCCAGTGACTCAGTGCCTTAGCAGGCTGCCGAATGACATGTCATGACGGCTGTGCTGTGGCCGTGAAGATTAGCATGGGTGGCAACCCTGAGGAGTTCAGTTGAACCTGCAGTGGGCTGGGATTCCAGCTTAGAGGCAGCCTTTCCTAGTGTTGTTCATCTGGACGCCCTGGCCAGCTGTCTATGCCAAGGACCCCCGGAAAGCCCCGCTTCACATCATGTTGGGCTTGCATGTTGTTGCTGTACCTGCCTCGCTCTGCCCTGGGACACTTAGCCCAGGAGTGGCAACACGGTCTTCACGGGGATCTGAACCTTCGTGGGCACTGAGGAGGCTGGAGGGAGAGGAAGGAGAGGTTGTGGGTCCTTTCTTCTTTGCCCGCATCCAACTCTTTCGACTGTGTATTATGTAGTCACTGAAGCATTTTTAACTTAGATACGGTTTCGCTGCCAGCAGAAGAAAAGAGGGATCAGATGCGGTAGGGTGTACTGGTGCTCTCGGTGCTCAGCGGGCCGTGGGAGGAGGATCTTGGGTTCGAGGCCAGGCTAAGCTACACAGTAAAGTGCTTATCTCAAGAACAAATCAATCAATCAATTAATTAATAAGGAGAAGGGAGCAGATGATATGAACGCCAAGACAGCATTGGTTGTAAAATCTGTCTAGTTGGGTTGGTCTTGGTGAGGCAAAGAGGAGGTGAAGGTAGCAAAAAGACTAGCAGTCCCCAGGCTGCAAAGGAGGTGAGGTCCCGCTGTTCTGTGCTGTCTGACAACAGAGAGTTACTCAGTGCCTTTGTAGACCGGGGAAGGGCTAGCTCTGCTTGCAGACCGTTTGCTGGTGCCAGAGTGAGCCCAGCAAGGCTTGGATTCCCTTTTCAGGCCAGGGGAGAGCTGTTTGTGCAGTCACTATGTAGAGCAGACTCTCTCTGTTACCCAAGCCCTTAATCACCCTCCGCTCTCCACACACGTTTGTGAGAGGCTGGTGATCCTCTCCTGCAAGCCTGGCGCCCTTTGCTATATAGAAAGAGCAGGACCTTTGATCTTGAGAGGGTGGCCCTAGCAGTGCGCCCCTGGCCTTTGAAATGTCACATGTTCAGAATTGTCAGTTTGTTGTCATGGAGACCTTCATCATGGCAATTTTTTAAAAAGGAAAAAGAAACAAAATTCGACTTTATTCTTTCATGATTTCATACATTAAGTACTAGCACTTTAATAAAAACCATGTCTGGGGCTGGAGAGATGGCTCAGTGGTTATGAGCACTGTTGGCTCTTCAAGCGCGCCCCACATTAAGATGCTGGCTACCTTTTATAGCTTCAGCACCAGGAGATCTGATGCCCTCTGCTGGCCTTCTCAGGCACCTACATCCATGTGTATATCCCCACATGGCACATGCAAACATAAATACAGAACTAAAATAGCTCTTAAAGGGTGACAGGCGCTGGGTGTCGGTGGTTCACGCCTTTAATGCCAGCACTCGGGAGGCAGAGACAGGAGGATCTCTGTGAGTTCAAGGCCAGCCTGGTCTACAGAGTGAGTTCCACAACCGGCTCCAAAACAATACAGAGAAACCCTGTCTCAAAAAAAAAAAAGTGACAGTCAGGGTGGGTGGTCATTCTGGTCATTGGGTGCATAAAAGGCAAGTATTCATTAATTCCATTTTAAAGATGGAACAGTTGAGGCCAAGGGAGCTTAAGTGACTTGCTGCCGGCCACCCTATTGCTAACTGGAGGAGTTAGAATTCGAATATATAGTTGGGCTCCAATCCCATCCTGGAAATACTAACAGGGGGTACCAGGTACAGTGGCAGTTTGTATTCCTAGCACCTAGGAGGTAGAGGAAGGAGAGTCATTAATTTCAAGCCATTTTGAGCAGCAAAGCAAGACCTTGTTTTGGGGGTTTTGTTGTTGTTTTGTTTTGGTGGTTTTGTGTTTTTTTGTGAGTTTTTCGGATTTTTTGCCAAATTAAAAAAAAACACACACACACACAGAAGGCTGGGCAGGCTACAGGTCAGCGTAGAGAGCTTTTTTGGTGTTCCCCAGCACTGCAAAAGCAAAGAAGGAAGGAAAGAGGGAAAGTCTCATATAGAGTCCTGTGCTGGTCGGAATGAGAACGGTCCCCACAGACTATAGGAAGTGGCACTATTAGGGCATGTGACCTCATTGGAATGGGTGTGGTTTTGTCAGAGGAAGAGTGTCACGGGGGAGGGGCTTTGAGGTTTCAGAAACTCAAGCCAGGCCCAGTGTCACTCTCTTCCTGCTGCCTGCTGTGTCCAGAGCCTTGGAACCTGTCGCTTTATAAGGGAACAGGGCATCTAGAGTTGTGTGTAACTCGGGGGTCTGGAGATTCTGTGCTGCATTATCTGGGCTCGGGGGCTAGAGCGGTTCTAAATGCTGTCACACACGTCTTGTGAGAGAAGGATGTCACATGGGAGGAGGCCAGCAGGACAGGGATAACGAGTCCTTGAAAAAAAATCACAGCGTGTGAGGGCAAGAGCACAGGGCTTTGTTGAATGTGTCTCTCAGAACACACTGCCATCAACTTCTCTTTTGCCTATGGCCTTCCCACCGACACTTGACGTTTCAGATGAGGCACGGAAGGCAGGTGTGGTGCTTCATACCTGTAGTCCTGGCACTTGCAGTCTGAAGCAGGAGGATTGTGAGTTCAAGGTTAGCCTGGACCATATAGCAAGTCCTCTTCTAGGTGGGAGGAACAACACCAAAAGGAGTTGGCATGACTGACCTGGCTGTCTGTGATGGAAATTCCTGTGCCTAAATTGCTTCCTGAAGGACTTTTTTCCCCCAAGACAGGGTTTCACTGTGTTGTACAGCATTGTATATCCCTGGTTGTCCTGGATTTCACTCTGTAGACCAGGCTGGCTTCAAACTCACAGAGATCCGCCTGCCTCTGCCTCCCGAGTGCTGGGATTAAAAGTGCGCGCCACCACCGCCTGGATTCCTCAAGGACTGTTACTTCTTGGTGCCTATTGCATACATGAGAGCTTGCTGCTGAGCAAGGTGTACGTTAAGCAGAAGCAAACACGCTTTACGGACAGTCTACCTGAAGTTTGTTTTGATGACCAAGTGGGACAGGGCGATGCCCAGAGGCCAGAGTGCATCTCGAGTGGAGTTCTGTTTCCTGAGTGGCATGCGGAGTGCTGTGCTCCTAGTGGTACCCGGGATGTGTCTCTGTGTCATCCCCATGGATGGCGCTCCCTGTGACCACATAGCTGAATCCCGTAGAGGCTGGGAAAGTTAATTCCCCGAGAATAAGTGATAATATGCATTGCATTCAAGCAGCCTTGGATTTTCTTTTAATATGCATGTGTGTGTGTGTGTGTGTATGCCAACCAATATTTGAGAAATTACATATTTTCAACCTAAGCTCTCTTCTTGAGACAGGGTCTTATGTAGCCGAGCCAGCCTCATGCTTGCTACGTAGCTGAGGATGTCTGTAAACCTCTGATCCTCCTGCCTCCAGATCACAAACCTGCGTTGCCACACTTGGTTTATCCCATTCTGGGGGAGGGATCCACGGTTTATGCACGCTAAGCAAGCACTCTGTCAATTGAGCTGCATCTCTAACCCATTAATCTAATCTTCTTCTGGAGCTGTTTGGGAATACTAACATAGCATCAAGCAAAATACATTGTATTAGTCCTTAGCGGTTTATTTTGTGTGCCACGCTTTGCTTCTCTGAGGGATGTGACTGGAAGGAATTCTCTTCAGAACTGGAAGCATACAGTGCAATGCAATCCAGCCACTGAGAACGCTGCTGAGAAGTAAGGGTTAACTAAAGCTGGGCATGGGGCAAGCACCTGTAACCCTAACAGCTGGAGGTAAAGGTAGGAGGAGCAAGCTCAGGAACAGCTCATCTGCTGGTGAGATCTTGTCCCATAGAGAAAGGGGGACAACCAAAATGGCAAACTTCAAGCACTCGAAATTTCGACCGTGCAATACGATTCCAGTTTGGAAGTCCAATGTTCAGATTTGCACTCCTGTCTCAAAATTCAGTCGAGGAGGCGCCCCATGCATTGAGCCAGCTCTCCTGCAGGCCGAGCCTTGTGCCTCGTTCACTGCATTCAGCCCCCAGGTCCTTGTGCAGCAGTGTACAGGGGGAGCCGCCACTGGCTTTCCCTTCCCTCCTCTGCCCCCTCAACAGGAAAGGTCACAGCTCCCCGCCTTTTGTGTATAGGAAAGCTGACAACGTCTGGACTCGGGTCTCCCAAGGGTGCTGTTATAGGCAAGAGCTGGTCCCCGAGGCCTGGGTCTGTGGGGTTTTTTGTAGCAGGTGTTTGGGACACTCAGCATCACGGGGCGGAGTGACTACCTCTCATGCAGATCCTCTCCTCTGTCCCGATAGTTTGTGAAGTTCGCCAACATTGAAGAGGACACCCCCTCTTATCACCGGAGCTACGACTTCTTTGTATCCCGGTTTAGTGAGATGTGCCACTCCAGCCACGATGACTTGGAAATCAAGACTAAGTGAGTAGAGGGAGACAAGGGGCCTACGGGGCCCCCAGCAGAATCCTCAAGGGGCCTTGAGCACTAGCTGACCAGTCTGCCTTCCTTGAGTCTCCTTCTGGCCTGCTGTTGCCATGGTGGGTGGGTGTTAATCAGAGTGGGGCCAGAAAATAGTGGTCCCCTGAGCTGAACTTGAGGGCCAGGAACAAAACACACAAGTGTGTGCATACACACACACACACACACACACACACACCTTCCACTCACTCTGTTAAAAATGTGCGCTTGCACAGACAACCTGCTCGCCAGGATCTACACCCACCAATAGAGCCCAAGTCCTAACACTGGTTCTTCCCCCCTCCGCCTCCTGGGTCCTCCTACCTACCAGTCCTTCTGCCATGCTGCCGAGGACATGTAGGACACTCTTGCCGCAGACCTTCTGCATTGTCTGTGCCATGTCGGAAGCCTTCTTCCGTGGTCTCAGAGCTCGCTGCCTCCCCGCTGCCATAGCCTCCCTGAGTGCCCGCGCTCACCCCATTCCTTCTGTATCTTGCTCTGCCCCCTCTACGTGATTAAATCCCCCTTTAACAACTTCCATCGTTCCTCCCTCGTGTCTGGCCCCTTGTCTGTCTCTCCCCGCTAGCTTCTAAGCTGCAGGAGGGCAAGGGTCGTGTTGCTCATTAATGCATCCCAATCGGGTCAGAGCCCACGGGGAGGACCAGCTGGAGGAGCCTTTGCGAGCGGTCACATCCCTCAGTCTGGAACTGAGCTCCTCTCTGGGAGGGCAGCAGCGATGCTCAGGGTGTGGAGATGCCTGGGTCTCTTTCCTTACAGAATCCGAATGTCTGGCATCAAAGGCCTGCAAGGGGTGGTGAGGAAGACAGTGAACGATGAGCTGCAGGCCAACATCTGGGACCCACAGCACATGGACAAGATCGTCCCGTCTCTGCTCTTCAATCTGCAGCACGTGGAGGAGGCGGAGAGGTGACTGGGGGTGGGGTGCCCCTCTCTGAGTGGCTTCTTCCCCCCCCGGCTTGGACTGGGGGGCAAAACCCAGATCCTGGGACAGGAATCTTGGCTTCGTGGCTTGTTCTGCCTTGAGAACAAGGCTGGCTCCTTGGACTCTTTGGATCTGGCTCCTGCCAGCCTCTGAGCCCCTTCAGTTCTCAAATAAGAAAGCAAGAGAGGCAATGAGTCTGTGTTGCCTCAGGATACATGTTAAGCTGGTCAGGACACAAGAGACAGACTATCCTGGTGCCCCTCCTGAAGCAGCTAAGGGGGTGGAAATGCCTCTCATGGTTCCAAATGCCAAAGACTTTCCCTCGTCCCTTCCTGGTGTTGCTCTAGACCTTAAAACATGACTGCTTGAGCATCCATGCCACTCAAGACTTGCAGATACCGGATCTTAACCTCAGAGCCCCCAAAGCATCCGACTCATCCGGTCCCCTGACCCCTATTTTCCCCTGTAGAATGGGATGGAGAGAAAAGTTCCCTTTGCTGTCCCCCACCTTGATTTTGTGCCTAGATGCTCAGTAAAAATGCACTCCTCTGGGTCTGTTGAACTAGCCGAGGAAAGTAAGTGTGCCCCCTGGTGGGTGTGTCTGACATAACAGCTCACCAATCTGGGGCTGGGATCTCTAAGAAGGACGGTTCTTTTCAGAGAAGGTACCCTCTGATTTGCATATTGTTAAGTCACGCCCTAGCCAATCACTGTTCCTTTCCTTTTGTCTCTCTCTTCCATCCTGTCTGCCTCTTTCCTCTTTGCGGTTCCCATTTCCCTCCTCTCTGAACCCTGAAGTATATATAGACCCTTGTGGTCTGCAGGCCTCCCGCAGAGCCAATCCAGCCCACCCTGAAGTGTTCCCAGGAAAATAGCTCTATGTCTCCCCCAGTCTTCTACTCCCAGCTTCCTTACCCTGTTTAATTCCTGACAGCCATGGCTATTCTACGACCTGGTGTAGCGTCTCTCAAATTAATCCCTGGTTGTCCTGAACAGAAGCTGAAAGGTAGACAGTCCTGGCTCACAGCTTGGCACCCATCCTTTATCCACCTGGCTCTGTCTCCACAGCCGGTCTCCCTCGCCCCTCCAAGCACCAGAGAAGGAAAAGGAGAACCCAGCCGAGCTGGCCGAGAGGTGCCTGCGGGAGCTGCTGGGCCGGGCAGCTTTCGGCAATATCAAAAACGCCATCAAGCCCGTTCTCATGTGAGTTGAGTGCCCAACCCCACGCAGGCAATGTTCCACTCCCAGGTCCCCGGTACCTCCTGGTCAGCTGCTTGGGTCCCCTCTGCAGCTGCTGTGCTGTGAAGTCAGCCCCCTTTCCGTGTCTGCACGCCCTGTGTCATACAGCAAGGCCACCGCACAGTGGCCACCTGCTGTTTGTAGTGATGGGTAGGACGGTACCCAAAACTGAACAAAGGTGCCAGCTTCATTCCTTGTGCCAAGCTATGCAGCCCATCCCGTAAACCCTCAAGCTATGCAGCCCATCCCGTAAGCTCTTCCTTGACTGAGAGCAGCAAGGGGCTCTCGGAGGTGTCATTGGCCCTCCAAGCTCAGCTCTACTCCTTACCTAGTCACCCTCCCTGATCCATGTTTTCTCCCTTACAGCCACCTGGATAACCATTCTCTTTGGGAACCCAAGGTGTTCGCCACCCGTTGCTTTAAAATCATCATGTACTCAATTCAGGTATGGTAGGTAGCTTCCCTGCTCCAGCTTGCCCCCCCCCATGTTGTCCCCTTCCAACCCCCCCCCCCGGCACTTCCGGGTGCAGGACATTGCAGAAAGCAAAAAGTCACTTGTCCTCTGACTTCCGCCAGAGACCCTAGCAGCCACAGATCCTGCAGTATCACCTGGCTGTGAAGAAAAGCTAGTTTAATGTTTAGTACATCCTAGGCCAGCATTTTATGAAACAAGTGAAAACGAAATCCTAGAGAAAAATTAAATCTCCCAAAAAGACAAGCAGCTTGCACCCCCTGGTTTTCGGAGCCTTCCGACTGCTACAGGCTTACGTTCCTTCTGGCCCGCCCTCCTCTCAGCAACAGTTATTATCAGATGCGTCTTGACCTGGGCCCCGGCCACACTGTGTGCAGCACGGAGCTGAACCATGTGGCTTCTCATGGTCCTTGCCAGTAAGACCTGGGGACAGGGGAAAACGAAGAACAATATTTTGAAATGGATTTGTGGCCCAATTGAAGGAAAAGGAATCAGGAAAAAAAAATGTGCAAGCGCAGACTCGCTAGGATTTGGCTCGGTGTTTGTGGGCCTGAGCCTGGATGGGGGTTGGGGAGCGCAGCGAGAAAGAGTGCGCGCTCTGGGTGCCACGTGCAGTACCCACTGGCTGTGGCATGTCATTTGGGCTCACCCTCGGCCTCTGGGTCCCCGCAGAGGGTGCCGGGCCTTTGGGGGTGGTGGTTTGGGGACCATCACGTCTTCCTCCCCCACAGCCGCAGCACTCCCACCTGGTTATCCAGCAGCTCCTGAGCCACCTGGACGCCAACAGCCGCAGCGCGGCGACTGTGCGCGCAGGCATCGTGGAGGTCTTATCGGAAGCTGCGGTTATCGCCGCCACCGGCTCTGTCGGTAAGACGGTTCAGAGCAGACGACAAGGGGCAGGAGGGAGGGGCAGATGTTGGATTTTAGGACCGACTGGCCGAGCGGGCTGGAGTTTAAGGGAGAGCGGGAGGGATGCCTGTCCTGACTTGCGGGTCCCTCCCTCTTGGCGCCCAGGGCCCACGGTGCTGGAGATGTTCAACACCCTGCTGCGGCAGCTGCGGCTCAGCATCGACTACGCGCTAACCGGGAGCTACGACGGCGCTGTGAGCCTGGGCACCAAGATCATCAAGGAGCATGAGGAGCGCATGTTCCAGGAGGCGGTCATCAAGACCATAGGTGCGGAGAGGATGGGGTGGGCCTGGGAGGGGCCATTGAGGCTTGGGGGCGGGATCAGGGGGAGGAGCGAGCGACGATCTGGAGGCGGAGCTAAGGGAGCAGAGCCTATGAACCAAGGCCTAGCACGGGGCAGAGGAGATGATGGGTGAGGCTTGGAAAGGGGCGGGGACGTGGGGGAGGGACTTAGGAAGGGGAGGGGGTCTGATGAGTCTTGGAGCTGAATGAGGCTCTGGGGAGAGGTTGTCAGGGTCCTAGGGTGCTGGCCTGAGGAGGGCAGGATCTGTGGGACAAGACTATGACAGTGCTGAAAGGAGGGACCCTGGCAAAGCTTGGAGAGGGAAGAGCTCTAGGGGGAGGAGTTAGTCTGGGGACTAAGGAAGGGAAGGGGTCTTGGGAGAGTGGAGAGGAACCTAGACTAGATAGAGATGACCCTTGTAAGAGGACCAGGCCTCCCCTGTAGTATCTGCTGTATGACTGTCTTGTTATTTAGGGACATGGAGACAGCCCATGATACACATGCCTGGCTGGCCCCTGAGCAAATCTGTCTGGGTTTCTCCACCAGGTCTTCCTACAAGGAAGACTATTCCTGTGTCTGGGGTCTCATTAGGCATACCTAGTGCTTCCAGGGTGGGGAGGAGGGGATTAAGGAAGAGAAGAGGAAAGGAAGAAAGCTGTGGAGACTATCTGTGCCCCGGGTGTGGAGAGATCTGAAACCACAATTACCACAGACTCCTCACTCTCAGAGGTCTCTGTACCTGCGCCACAGACTCACTGCCAGGGCAGGAACAATGAAACCACAGCGCTGCCCTGCGCCCCAGGCCCTATCCCCCAGTAGAGGAGCCCTGGTGGTGACCACAGCCTCAGTAACAAGGGAAGAAGTGGCATCTAGAAGAGTCCTCTGGAATCCTCCATGCTTCCTTCCCCAAGAGGCAATGTCACAGCAGACTGCCTGGGCAGGTCTCCCAGGGCCTGTGCTACCCCTGGGCGTCAGTGAGCCTAACTCTCTACCCATTCAACTAACACGTGCTGAGCCTGGGACACCGCTAACGCTCCGTTCTCTTCCCCACAGGCTCTTTTGCCAGCACTCTGCCCACTTACCAGCGCTCGGAGGTGATCCTCTTCATCATGAGCAAAGTCCCGATACCCTCCCTGCACCACCCGGTGGAGACCGGAAGGACAGGGTTAGTCCGCTCCCTTCTTTCTCCCAGCCTGGACTGCCTGGTTCCCCGTTATCCACTTCCGTAGATCTTCTCTTGACTCAAAAGCCCCTCAGCAGTGGGGATAGTGGGTCCCACGGCCATTTTCCAGGCTCCCCCCTCACTTTAGGGAAATCACGGGCCCCCAGTCTGGCTTCCTGGGTAACCCCACAAGATAAGCCTCCTGGTGAGAAAACTCATTGGTGGAGAACTGAGGAAGGCGGGGAGCACCCTATTGCCATCCTGCTGAGTGCTCCTGTCTCTGGCCCACAGGGAGAATAGGAACCGACTGACCCAGATCATGCTGTTGAAGTCTCTTCTTCAGGTGAGCGCCCCTGCACCCATCCCTGCTCTGCCTCCGTGGGGCACAGCTCCTTTCAGGGAACCAAGACAAGGCAGTAATGTGTGTTACATACTGCCCAGATGTGCCCAGCCACTAAAGGGGTAAGGGAGGGGCTGAAACCCAGCCTGAGCTCCACCAAGTTGTTCAGAGCAGGGTGAAAGATAATGCTTTTGTTTGTTTGTTTGTTTTGTTTTTGTTTTTTGAGACAAGGTTCTCTGTAATAGCACTGGCTATATTGTATCTCCCTTTGTAGACCCGGCTGGCCTCGAACTCACAAAGATCCACCTGCTTCTGCCTCCAGAGTGCCGGGACTAAAGGCATGCGCCACCACTGCCTGACTTAATGTGTGTGTGTGTGTGTGTGTGTGTGTGTGTGTGTGTGTGTGTTTTATCCATGTGCCAACTGATCAGCCTTGTCACTATAACCTTGTGGGTCTTGAGATAATTCCTCCCCCTCTGCCCACCTGGTACCCTTCCCTAGGTCCTGTCCCTCTGGCTCCCCCATTTTACCATTGACATTCATGTCTGTCACCTTTCAGCCACCACCTTCTTCCTCTATGTTTTCTATGCTTCTTTGTATCTCAGCTTTCATTGCTGGGATGTAGTTCTGTTGTTCACAAACACCATTCCCATGATCAATTGGTTAAAATACGTAGGCTCCCCAGGGAGTGTGAGGGTCAGTGCTTGAGATTCTGATAATCTCTATGTATGTGTGGGTACAAATATAAATATTTATGATTTATTTAGGGCCTCCGTCTGTGACCCTGGTTGGTCTTGAACTTAACATAGCCTATGCTGGCATCAAACTCAGATCCTCCTGCCTCAACCAGCTAAGTGTCGGAATTGTAGGCATACCTGCACGGTCATACCCCAGCTTTGAAATTTGTTTGTGTAATAAGCTCCCTGCCCTAGCCTAAACTTTGGACATCTCACGACTAGGTTATTCTCTTCAATGTTTCTGTGTTCAATCATCATAAACACCAGAAGAATTTTCTGGAAATACCATTTTCTAGTTTTGACCCTTATTTCAGAGATCTCATTTTCTCATGTGAACATCTAAATTTCAGACTTTTCAGAGCAAGTTCCCAAGGTCCTTTCTCTCTCTAGACCAACTTGTAGGTCATGACCTCTTTGGATTGAATGACCCTCTCATGAGGGTCACCAAGGACCATTGGAAAATGGACATTTACATTATAATTCATAACAGTAGCAAAATCAGAGCTATGAAGTAGCAACGAAAATAATTCCATAGTTGGGGTCACCAAAGCATGGGGTACTGTATTAAAGGGTCACAGCATCAGGAAGGTCAAGAACCACTGCTCTAGATCATTCGTTATACCAACCAGCTCCCATCTCTGTTCCCAACAAGCCAGTCTGTACAGACCCCCTCACTCCATGCAAGCCTTCTCTTCGCCACCCTCATCCGGATTCTGCGTTTGTTTGGCCACTCTGCTTGGGATGGTAGTATTGGGGATTGAACCCAGGACTTCTCACATGTTAGGCAGATACCCCTCCACTGAGTATCCTTTCCCAAAGCCCTTTTGTTCTTATATTTCCCATATCTAGTTGTCTATTCTCTCCTTGGTCTTTGTAATCTTTTAGTTTTGCCTAGTTGACCCTTGTTAATTTGTACCCAGTATCTTACACGACAGTCTGAGGAACACTCATGTGCCCCTTCACCATGCTCTGGGGCTGGGCTGGCTCCATGGAAACCTTCTCGATCATTCTGCAGCATGGACTTAACAGAAAATGCCCTTTGCCACTGTTGAGCATTTGGCATCATGTGTGATGTGTCCACCTGTGCTGACTGATTTGAGTCAGAAGGCCCCATTATCACAGTGCTGCGCTGACTGTCGGGTATGTGATGGACTCTGTCACCCAGCTGTGAGGTCCTCTGCCCTCTAAGTTCCTGTGACTCCTAGTCTTAAAGCATCGTAATAAAACAGCTGGACACTCACCAGATGTTCGCTGGCCAGCTAGAACTTTCACAGATTCCCTGACTCTTGCCTTTCTCTGGTGCTAATCCTAATTCACTTTTAACACTTACTGCCCCTGCATACTGTCCCCATATTCCTACATGCCAACTGAGCTGCACTGAGTAGGTTTTCCAGGTGGATATTCAGGGGGCTCTATGCAGAGGATGGACACTTTACACCAGAATTCTGGCTGCTTCTCCATCTCATCTCTGCACCGAGAGTGATGGTGTTCCTAAGCACACCTGTCCCGGGCTCCTCACAGGTATCCACAGGATTCCAGTGCAACAACATGATGTCAGCCCTGCCCAGCAACTTCCTTGACCGTCTTCTCTCCACTGCCCTCATGGAAGATGCGGAAATCCGCCTCTTCGTTCTGGAGATTCTCATCAGTTTCATTGATCGCCATGGCAACCGCCACAAATTCTCTACCATCAGGTGAGCGGAAGGTCTCTCCTCCAGCAGATGTGACGGGGAGCCCCCAGTCACCTGTCTTCTTGGCCAGCACCGTGACACCGGGGGCGGGGAGGGAGGAGGACAGCTGGGATGCGGTGAGAGCCGCTAGAGTTCATCATCCCGGCTTTAGTCAAGGAGAGCAGGAGTCAGCGTGTGCTTGTGCCTGGGCTGGGGGCTGGAGAGAGTGTGCATCAGCATAAAGTTTAAGAGAAAGAAACAGGCATGTGAGAACTTTGGAGAAGATGGAGGCGGGGTTAAGAGCCAAGGCCAACCTACAACAGTGGGGATAAAGCCTGGTGACACCATGTGAACTCAAGTTGGCCTCACACAGGGGGCTAAGAGGCTCCTCTGTCCCTTCATAGCACCCTTGGTGACATCTCGGTCCTGAAGTTGAAAGTGGACAAGTGCTCCCGGCAGGACACTGTCTTCATGAAGAAGGTGAATATGACCAGCAGACACAGCGAGCCCCAGCGGAAGTCAGGCTTATTAGTCCCAGTCTTTCAGCATCTAAGTCACTGTGTGGCCATTGGTCCCAGAGCCTGCCCCCTTGTCCTTCAGTTGGCCAGGTTAACCACTTGCTGAGGATGGAGATGGGGGACCACACACAGCTGTCACCTCCCCTTCAGATGGGCCCTCCACCCTGGACCCACCCCACTGACCACAGCTGTCCTCTGCCCCTGCTCCTGTTCCCAGCACTCCCAGCAGCTGTACAGGCACATCTACCTGAGCTGTAAGGAGGAGACCAACATCCAGAAGCACTACGAGGCACTCTACGGCCTGCTGGCGCTCATCAGCATTGAGCTGGCCAATGAGGAGGTGATGGTGGACCTCATCCGACTGGTGCTGGCTGTTCAGGTGGGGCCGGATGCGGGGAGGACTGGATGGGGATCTCGAGTAGGGGCCTCTCTAGCCAGGTACAGACAGGGATACTCTGCTGCACTTGACAGTTGTTTTGGTGACAGTTATTTTATTGTCTGGGGACATTGAACTCTAGTTGGCCATTCCTCCATGAAGACCCCAAACCATGATCTTGTCTGGGAAGCCCCAGAAAACAAATTAATCCATGACTCTTGTTCATCATTAAGGTAAAGAGGACACAAGGTCACCCAGAATCACCCCTGACCCCCTAGCATTCATGTCCCTCACAGGGTCTCTGAGTGCTACTCCAAGAACTCCCAAGGGGGCATCCAAAAGCCCCAAGTGATCCAGAAACATGTATTCATCTAAAAATCCTCTCGCTGTTGGGTTAGTTGTTCAGAACTGTCTCTGGTGCGTTTTTTAAAAATGCAGTTACCCAGACTGGGAAGCCACAGTGTCCCGAGCCTGGGACCTGTCTTTTACAAGCCTCCATTGTGATCCGCCGGCAGCCAATGTGGTACTAGGTAGGACCAGAGACCTTCAAGGTCTGCCTGGGTAGTAGTGCATAGCCGCAGAAGTCGGGGTGGGTCCTTCAGTCCTCAAAGGCTGCAGTCTCCGGGTCCCGAAGCCAAGCAGGCATCATATTCTTAAACTTAGTGGCAGGCATCTTAGGTCATCTTTGTGACCATGCTAGATCCTGCAGGCCAGCCTAGATGTCACAGTTGTCTTTGTTTACCCTAAGAGGTAGGATTCAAGACTCCTTTGCGTCCCAATCTCCTGGTGACCCTCACAGATTTTAGCACATGGACCCAGTTCAACAAGACAACCGATCGCCTCAGCTTCAGTTTTGCTGAAGGAGATGGCAGCTAAATGATGGGGCTAACGCTAATGAGGAGGGTTTGGGCAGTGGCGGTCACTATAGCCAAAACCACAGAGTGGCGAGATGGGTTATTGCCTCTATGCTCATAGGGGTTTACAGCCTCCAGCTCATGAGTTACTCCAGGGAGCATTCTCTCTAGCTTTATGAGGAGGACTTCTGCCTTTCAGAAGGCTATAGGACAAAGATTTAGTCTAGAAAGATGAGCCTGAGGAGACTGGGAAGAGGTCATGTGGGGGGTGTAGACTTTAGTGGGGTATGTCAGGGGAAAAAACTCCGGGAGTCTGTCTATGTTACCACAGGACGTGGCCCAAGTCAATGAAGAGAATCTGCCTGCCTACAACCGCTGTGCGCTCTACGCCCTGGGTGCGGCCTACCTGAACCTCATCAGCCAACTCACGACGGTGCCTGCCTTCTGCCAGCACATCCATGAGGTTGGTGTCCTCGTGACCTCAAGATCTCAGTGAGCCCTGGAACATTAGACTTAGGCTTTGGAGGAAGCATTCAACTAAAGATCCTCTGTCCTCAGGTTCCTGAATAAAGAAAGGGGTCTCACACCTGCCTGCTACCCACTGTCCTAAGGAAGCATGAGACACACACTCTTCCAGCCATGTGATCGAAAGCAACTTAATAGGAGGTTGCGTCGTATACATAAATCCCTGGGTCCAATTCCCAGGCCACATAAATCTGGGTATGGTAACATAAGCCTATAATTGCAGCTCTCAAGAAGTCTCAGTGGCAGAGACACCTTGGCATTGCAAGTCTAAGGCGAAACCTGGGCTACATGAGATTTCTCTCCCTATCAAAAAAAAAAAAAAAGTTCTAGAAGCCAAGCGTAGTGATACATGTAGACCTGGGATCCCAGCCGTTCAGGAGGCTGACAATAGTGGATATCCAGGTCAAGGCCAGTCTGGGCAACACTGAAGCTGTCTTATGGTAAAAGCCCTTGCCGTGCAAGCCTGATGAACTTGAGTTCAACCCTGGAACTCATATTAAGAAATCCAAATGCAGCAGTACACACCTAGCTCTCAGCACACCTATGGAAAAATGGGAGTCGGAGACAAAAATGAGACATAAGCTCATGGGTCAAATAGCCTGGAGTATACACTGCAGTGGCAAAATCCAGACAGACCCGGCCCCAACAAGGTGGAAGGCAAGAACCAGCTCCCAAAACCTCTACACAGAACTGTAGCATGTGCATGCCCCCAACACACACACACACACACACACACACACACACATACACACACACACACACACAATGTGCACGCACCAAAACAAAAAAGGCAAGATTTTTGTCATGAACACTCCAGTACCACAAAAGCCAAAGCAGAACTGTGAACCACAGTTATGCAAATTAAATACTGTGAACATTTCTCACATTTGCTAATCAAAATCATATTCCTGTACTGAATATTTTTAAAGCAAATTCCAGCTCCCCGTGCATAAATTTAACTTATATATCGGTATGCAGAGACAGAGAGAGAGAGAGAGAGAGAGACAGAACAAGAACAGTGGCTTTTCCCTCCAATGCTGCCACGCTGTCACTTAACTGATTAAATTTTGAATCTCTCCCCATCTTGGTATTATCTAGTAGCCAATCTCGTCAATGAATCCCAGTTGTTGCATAAAGGTCTTTTAAAAAATTCAGAAGGCAACTGGAGAGATGGCTCAGTGGTTAAGAACACTGGCTACTATTGCAGAGGACCTGGGTTCCATTCCCAGAACCCACATGGTAGCTTACAACTAACTGTCTATAGCTCCAGTTCCAGGGGATCTGACGCCTCTCCTGACCGTCACAGATACCAAACATGAGCATAGTACATATATATGTATACAGGCAAAGCCTTCATATACATAAAAATATTTTTAAGTCAGAAAAAAATCCTTTTTTTTTTTTTTTTGGTTTTTTGAGATAGGGTTTCTCTGTGTTGTTTTGGAGGCTGTTCTGTAGACCAGGCTGGCCTCGAACTCACAGAGATCCACCTGCTTCTGCCTCCTGAGTGCTGGGATTAAAGGCGTGTGCCACCAACACCCAGCCCAGAAAAAAAATCCTTTTAGGTGGATAGGACATCTAGAATTAACCTTAAAATCCCAGATCTCTGCTGGCTTAAGATGGCTTGGGGGCATGAGGGCAGATGCTGTGTCATTGTGCCAGTGACTTCCCAAAGCATTGGCTTTCACAGACTCTGGCTGATAAGGAAGTACAAGAAATCCTCTCTGTGGGAGATACGGGGGGGGGGGGGGCTGTTGCCGTCACAATCACACACCTGCATGCCACCTATCTCTGGCTCCTCACCACTTCTTCCAAAAACCCTTGCAAAGGCTCTTGAGGAGACCTCAAGCTGTCCATCAGCCACTTTTACCTCAGCCAGACCCGGCACTCTTGGCAGCTGAGCTCCCTTTCCGCTTGCGGAAGTCGAAAGCACAGGACTAAGAAAGAAACCCTGGCCTCTCGGGGAACAAGTGCCCTGCACTCGGAGGACACTTGACACACGTGCGTCATTAATGGCGACAGCTTGAGCAGCTCTGACGGCGACTGGGGACCTGCATTTTCCCTGGAGAAACTCTGTGCTGCATCTCCCAGGAGGCTGGGGGCCGGGGGGGGGGGGTGAAAGAGAGGCTGCCTTCGTCCCTCCTGCTCTGAGCCACCCGACCCTGCTGGATCCAGACCTCATCGTTTGTTTCCTTCCGAACTCCAGGTCATAGAGACCAGGAAGAAAGAAGCACCATACATGCTTCCCGAAGACGTGTTTGTGGAGCGGCCCAGGTAAGCACGGTGGGGGCTGAGGGTGCATTCAAACACGCAAGAGCGGGCAGTATGAGGCCAGGCAAGGGCACACATCGGGGACTTGGACCCTGCCTGAGATCTCCAAGTCCCGGGCAGAGTTGGCCCCCATCACATTACCATAGTCCCCCCATGGCTGCTGTACCAACACGCCTCAGGCTGGGACTGCCGTACTGCATAGGTGATGCAGTCTCCAGGAGCTTTGGTAAACCCAGGGGGAGTGCACCCTAGAAGAGTTACCCCCGACAGGCCCCTGCCTTCAGCTCCCTTCAGACAGTGCTGTGGACCAGTATCGATTCCACAGGAGCGGAACTCCAGGGAAAGACATTCTGAAAAACAAGGTGTCCAGCATCGGGACACGACCTTCTAAGTCGTGACCTCTCCGTTCTCTTCCTGGCAAAGGAGAAAATGTGGATGTTGCCTAAGGAACAACACCCAGCGTTGACCTCTGGTCTCCGCATACCTGCACGCACACGTATGCATGCACACACATACACACACCCAAAATTAATCCCAGAACACTGTTGGGGGAGGGACATTCAGTGTGTGAGAGTAAATGTGTGCAACTTAAAGAGTCTGCATAAAATGTAGAGCAGTGGGTGTTCTTGGAAAGGGGCTGGGGGGATTTCCTTCTATTTCTCTGTCATTTTGCATAGTGAATATGGTGCTATTGTGATAAAGGCATCCAGGGATTGTTCTGGCTGCCCACAGTCCTACTCCGCCTCTTCTTTGTCCTTCAGGCTGTCTCAGAATCTGGATGGCGTGGTGATAGAGTTTCTCTTCCGCCAGAGTAAAATCAGTGAAGTCCTGGCAGGCAGCGGCTACAATTCGGACAGGCTCTGCCTGCCCTACAGCCCTCAGCTGACAGGTAAGAGCTCTGGGAAAGGCTTCCAGCCTACCTCTGCCTTTCCTGCCAGGCAAGAGCCCTAGGGTAAGGGGGTGTGGACAGCTGAATCACGTGTGGTGGCCTCTTAGAAGTTATCTAAGAGCTGAAAGACACATAGCAGAATTTATGGTGAGATCCCTATTTTGATGCTCCTTCTCCTCAGTTTTGGATCTCAGAAAGCAACTGACCGAGAGTTGATAGCCTGGTTGATAGAGGGCTGGTCTATAGTTAGAAAGAGCACCCATGGGCTGTAGAACCAGGGACCCATTTCAAGACATCTGTGCTACTTACTTCTCTAAAAACACATTTGGGCAAGTCTCTGGAAACCCCCGAGTTACTGGATTACAAAATCCCTGCATTAAAGGGTTATGTGGAGGTGTGTGGAGTAATGAAATCAGATGCCCTTCAGGACACTGTACGCATGACCATTCCTGGTGCTGTTAGTGGAGGCAACCAGCTTATACTAGTTGACGTGTGCTTTCTGGTCTGAAGCAGCTTCTTTCTGTTCACACATGGTTGTAAAAAGTCTTAACCCAAAGCAGCAACCTGACCACTCTAAGATGGGTGGAGAAGGCCCACAGCAAACGCAAGCTTCTGGAAGCTCCAAGGGTGGCCTACCGATGTATTGAACCAGTGCAGACTGGGACCAATGGCTTGGCAAGGACTGGGAAACCCAGCTTCTGGCCTCTTCTTTTCCAGATGAAGATCGCTTGTCCAAGAGGAAGAGCATTGGAGAGACCATTTCCCTTCAGGTAGAGGTGGAATCGCGGAACAGCCCAGAGAAAGAGGAGGTGAGTGTCTGGGCACTACTGGGTGTCTTACAGTGCAGTAAGGGATCTGTGGACATTAGTTTTCTCGAGTACATCCATATTCTTACTGGTTCTTCTATTCCCAGTTGAAAGATAAAAGTACTTCTTCTACCATGAGAATATCATTTTAAAACAACAACAAAAATCACTCTGGAAAGGCTTGCTCATTTCTTCCTCATACAATTTGGGGGATTGACAGGCATGAGGCAAGTGTCCCACAAAGTAAGGAGGACCCACATCTGAGTGGGACTGACAGGGACAGGAACACTGGTGGGGAGTCTGAGGGCAGCTGCGGAGGACAGTGGCTCTCTCCCCAGGGGTGATCAGACCATAGACAAGTCCTTAAAGGCTGGCATTAAGCACCCTCTAAATAGGGCCAAGCTCTCACCCTGGACATTCAGAGCTGGTCTGGAACATTCCCTTAGAAGGCCGGAAGCTCTCACCCTGGCTAAGCAAAGTGAGGGAGGGAATGTGGAGGCCTCAGAGGCCCATCCAGGCGTGGAAGACAGGACCCCTAGGGCGTCACAGCCTCGAAGTTAGCTGACTGCCTCCCCACATTGCAGAGGGAGCTTCTCCTAAGCTTAGAGGCCTTCAGCAGTTAAGCAAAGCTAAGGAGGAGAAATGCTTACCTAGCATTTCTCATCGGTGGCCTTCTGGGGCACTCGTATTGGTTCTTTCCTTGGGTTAGCTTAGCCCAGGGGCGTCCAGGGCTATGCCCTCTCCATGGCTGTCTCTACCACAGTCAGCCCATGGTGTCCTGGTGCGGGATCCCACGTGGGCTGACTGCCATCACTGTGTGTGATGAGTCAATGCTGCTGTGGTCAAACCTTGATCCCAGTGCCCAGCATTCTGGGCTGGTCCTGCCATGTTCCTTTTGTTTCCCTTGCCACCCTATGTACTTCCGCTGGTGGTGCTGCTGTCAGTATCCTCTGAGCCACGCTCAGTCATCTATCCTCGCAAGTACACTGGTGCAAAAAAAAAAAAAAAAAAAAAACCTCCCGGAGTCTGCCTCCTTCTTCATTATGGGTGCTTGGACCTTTGGACCTGTGGAGTGCCTGTTCCTTGAAGCCCAGCCAGGTCCCATTTCCTCCATGCATATCTCTCTAGCTGCTCTCACTCGGAGAACTTGCTTTTATTTTTCCTTTACCATGTGGTTTCTTAATGCCTGGAGTTTATCTGCATTGGTCTTCACTGACCCTGGGTGGATGGACCGATGATGGGTGGATAGACTAATGGGTGGATGGACCAATGGGTGGATGGACCAATGGGTGGGTGGACCAATGGGTGGATGGATCGATGATGGGTGGATGGACCAATGATGGGTGGATGGACCGATGACAGGTGGATGGACCGATGATGTACGGATAGACCAATGGGTGGATGGACCAATGGATGGATGGACTGATGATGGGTGGATGGACCAATGGGTGGATGGTGTGTGTGTACATAGGATGAATCCTCAGGTTCTCTTGTATGTAATTCTTATCTTAACAAAGTGATGTCCATACAGTATTTGCTGAGTGTCCTTATCCAGTATTTGTCCTTTCCAGTCACACAGACATTTGCTAAATGGAAAACAAATCAAGAAATGTTCTGTTTGTGAATTTTCACAAGGTGACTGCATCCATGTCATCACACTCAGATCAGCAGACCAAACACAGTCATCACTGGGGACCTCTCTGGGCCTCTCTTCCCTCAAAGGAACCACGTAGCATAGTTGTGTCCCTTGTTGGAACTTTGTCTGGTTAATCGCTCTCTCTTGTCTAGATTTTCCCCTTTCATAATGGTGCATGACTCACCAGGGCTGTCACACCAAGAGGCTCATAGTCTGGTTCAAAGTTCATGGACTCTGGTCCAAACCTCATTATCTTCGGCATCTTCCCTGAGGCCATGCATTCATGGAATTCCCTTCTTTGGGTTTTATTATTTTCTGTCTCTTTTTAAAGGCTCTGCAGAAGTTGAGATCCTTTGGACCAATCTCATCAGCAGAGGTCCCATTATTTCTAACCTCCTATGACTTAACTGTATTAAGATTCATCACTTCGGGGTATAATTTAATATCATGCGACTTCAAAATGTTATGAAGTTCTTGGAGTTTATATTGGAGATTGTATTTCTCAACTCTTACATCCAGTCGTTTCTCTGAGGATTTTTTTTTAAATTACATGGTGGTTTCCTCCCAGGGAGCTTGACAGGACAGGCTTAGGCAGGGGAAAGAACAGAATTCTGTGCTGAGGGAACCTCATGAGGGACTGGCTTCATTTGCTTTTCTCCACACATGTTCAAAAACAGCTCTGGGGATGGGGGTGACCTAGGGACATTCCCCTAAGAAGCAAAGGGGCTGCCTTCTCTCCCTCACCTTTCTGAACATGTCTGTCCCTCCTCCTTCAGCGAGTGCCTGCAGAGGAGATCACCTACGAGACGCTGAAGAAGGCCATTGGTAAGACGGCAGCGAGAAACCCTGATGAACGGGAGGTTGGGGCTGACATGGACTTGGTGGAAGAGGCCGGTGGCTTCTTGTAAACTCATCGGCCAGCAAAGTTGCAGCTGGAAGTCCCCACTCATCACTGCATATCAGGCAGTCCCTCTCTTTCTTATTAATGACAACTGCCTCTGAAAGTTGAGGGTTACAGCCAGGTGACTGTTTGTGCAAATAACACTTCTTGTGTGTGGAGGATAATGCAAAAGGACATGCTGTCCACTGAAAAGCATTGAGAAGAAGTCATATTAGCGTTCATTTAATACGGGCAACAGACTTTAGAGACCGAGTCACCTTTATCTGCAGGATGGGCCCATGAAGTGCTCCTATTAAGAGGTCGTTTCTAAATGATGACAAACGAAGCCACTAAATGAACTTTCTGTGAAGTCTCTTCAGTATTTTGTTATTATTGAGTGCACTCAGCCAGGTGTGGTGGTGCACGCTTTTAATCCCAGCACTTGGGAGGCAGAGGCAGGCGGATCTCTGTGAGTTTGAGGCCAGGGTGAGGCCAGCCTGACTACATAGTAACCTCCAGAACAGCCAGAGCTAACTATTGTAAGCCTGTTTCAAAAAGATGATAGATAGATAGATAGATAGATAGATAGATAGATAGATGGATGGATGGATGGATGGATGGATGGATGGATGGATGGATAGATAGATAGACAGATAGATGATAGAGATAGATAGATAGATAGATAGATAGATAGATAGATAGATAGATAGATAGATAGATAGATGAACACACCACCTACCTCCCTAACCCTTTACAGCAATCATTATTTGGCCTCAAAACACGCTCCCTATTTTTCCTTATTTCGTAACTCACTTTGGATAGCAAAGCCTTAAGTGAAATTTCCTCAGACTGCTGTGCTGTGGAGCTGTGTTGACTCTCACCATCTATAGCTTTTTCAAACTATTCTGGCGGTACTAAAATGGACAAATGTCTGAGATCTTCTGTATGAGAGACCCCGCCGGAGTGCAGCCACGTGGTTCCATTTAGCTGATTCTCTGAGGAACCGGGCTGACTCAGGAAGCATCCATGGGGACCACCTTCCGTGACTCCGCCCTCTTTTCACCCCAGGAGTCCACCCTGTTCCTCTCCCTCCCCTACCTCATCTCTGAGCACTAACACAGTTCTCCGTGTCACAGTGGACAGCGTGGCAGTTGAGGAACAGGAGCGTGAGCGGCGGAGACAGGTGGTAGAGAAATTCCAGAAGGCACCCTTTGAGGAGATTGCAGCCCACTGTGGGGCCCGGGTGAGTGACAGACCATAGGGTGCCTTCCTGACCAATCAGAAACCAGTAACAGAACATAGGGTGCCTTCCTGACCAGTCAACCAGAAACCAGACTTGGGTCCAGGGCAGGACTGACTTCAGACGTTCCCTCTCTGTCCTGCAGAAATTACAGTTTGGGTTCAGTATCCAGTACGCTGCTACTTACCCTTGCTTCCCCTGAGCCCAGTGACTGGGCATTTACTTAGCACTCACTGTTTTGGACCTTTAATCCCAACACTTAGGAGGCAGAGGCTGGCAAACCTCTGTAAATTCAAGGCCAGCCTGATCCACATAGATCAGGCCAGTCAGAGCTACATGGTAAGATCTCAAAAAAAAAAAAAAAAAAAAAAAAAAAAAAAAGGCAGGCAGGGAGCAGGGAGTAGGAGGGTAAGGGGTCCGTGGCACGCCAGCTGGGTGCGGTGGCTCACACCTCTAAACCATCACTCAGAAGGTAGAGGCAGTGGATCTGAGTTCAAGGCCAGACTGGTCTTTGTAGATAATCCCAGGCCAGCCAGGGTGGTACCCTGTCAATAAAACAAAAAATTTAATTTTTTTATTATCCTATGTGTATATGCGTATGTTTATGCAGAGGAAGGACTTTTGGTCTCTCCTTCCACTTCTATGTGGGCTCCAGGGACTGAATTCAGGCCATGAGGCCATGAGGCCTTTGTAGGACACACTTTAACCACTGAGCCCTCCCACCAGCCAGGTTCCTTTAAATGAGGGTCTTGCTCTACTGTCCTGGGCTGGCCTTGAACTCCCTATGCATCCCAGGCTCACATCACAACGTCCAGCCCTCCTGCCTCAGCCTTCTGAGTGCTGAGGTTACGGGCATGTGGCTTATACTTTAAGTTTACCTTTGTAAGATCTACACATCTTGTCGTGATGTAAAAACACGCCTTCCAAGCCCGTGCTCCTTACCGTAAGTTATCCCCATCTCGCTTTGAGAGGTAGACTACCCATTTTGTGATCTAGGAGGAGGCTCAAGTGCTGGATACATGCCAAGAAAGAGTAACGTCAGCTCCAGTCTCTAACCCCATGCCCAACAGACTCCGTTACCCCATATTAAAGAGCAGAAGCCTGTGCAAACCTCCCCTGGTGTTCCCAGCCCTCTGTCAGGTCCCCAGTCGGCCTCTGAGGGGTGGTTGTCCCTGATCTGAATGTGTAAGTTCAACAGACAGGTGCAGGGGGGAGGGCACACCTGCCTGGTTACCCTCCCACAGTTGCTACTGCGAGAAACCTCACGGTGTCCTTTGGACAGGTGGCAGCTGACACTTTTTTAATTTATTTACTTTTATTTTATGTGTATTGCCTGCGTGTAAGTCTGTGTGAGGGTGTCAGCTCTTGGAGTTACACACAGTTGTTAGTGGCCACAGGGGTGCTGGGATTTGAACCCTGGGCCTTTTGGGAGCAGCCAGAGCCCTTAACCACTAAGCCATCTTTCCAGTTCCAGAAGCTGACACTCTTGGAGCCCTAAGTTCACTTTCCTTCTGTTTGTGTCTAGGCATCACTGCTGCAGAGCAAACTCAACCAGATCTTTGAAATCACCATCCGGTAAGTGGCAGCATGGGCAGGGGACCCTACCGCTGTGTCCAGCATCAGGGGTCTGGGCGGTTACCCTAATTCTTCTTCGCACGTCTTCCTACAGCCCTCTCCCTCCACTCCAACCTCTATTCCCAGCCACCATGGAGAAGGCAAGAGACTTGGCTTAGTAAGGTTTAGAAAAGGCCAGAAGTCTTAGTGTCCCAGGCAATTACTTGATTTCCAAAGTACCTGTGTCACCGTAGAGCAGCAGTTCTTAATCTGTGGGTCACGACCCCATTTGGGGGTCACATATCAGATACCCTGCATATCAAATTTTACATTACAACTCATAACAGTAGCAAAAACACAGCTATGAAGTAGTAACAAAATAATTTTATGGTTGGGGTTGGCACAACATGAGGAACTGTATTAAAGGGTTGCAGCTTTAGGAAGGTGGAGGGCCACTGCCGTAGAGCCTACAGGAAGCCTTGACTGAACTGAAGACCCTGGACATCCTGAAAATCTGGAACTCACGGAATGGCATGAGTTTTAAAGAGAATCTGAGAGTGACTGCTGCGTTCAGTTGCAAAGGGTAGGACTGTAATTCCTGCCTCATACCCTTCTCTTCCACGTGTCCCTAGGCCCCCTCCAAGCCCTTCTGGGACCATCACGGCAGCCTACGGGCAGCCGCAGAACCACTCCATCCCTGTCTATGAGATGAAGTTTCCCGATCTGTGCGTGTACTGAATTCCAAGAGACGAAACTTCCCGGTGGACACCGTGGGGCCACCGGCCTCCTGCCCACTCTCACCACGCGGAAGTCTAGCTGGGAGAGCTGAGAAACAGTCACCTCGGACAGTGGCTCTTCCCGACTTGAGCAAAGATGGAACCCTCTGGTCCTCTGTGACCCTCTTGCCTTCTCCTCGTCTTCCATGAGGAAGATCCAGCCACCTGCCCTCTGGGGTAATCATCTGTCTTCCCTTTTGTATCAGCCAGGGACAGAGAATCACCAGGGTGTCTCCACTGAGAAGCAGAGGGGCCTGGGAGGCTTCCACTGGGAATGTATCTATGAGGGAGTGTCACCCTACCCACCATGGGAAGGAGCCTGATGAAGATGTCATTGGTCTAAGGAAGCCATAGATGGTACTCGGGGAAACTGAGGAAAGCCCTCCTCATCGAGAAGTGACAGCTGGAAGGTGATGTCTGCTCTCACCTCTTAGTCCCGGGTGTCTTGTCTAGCCTCTTCGTTACCCTCCAGTTGTCCGTGTTTCTTTCTTTCTTTTTTCTGTTTCTTTTTCCACCATTACTGAGTACTGAGTGCTTACAGCAGGAGCTTGGGGAGAGACACTGGCAGGGCTGGCAGGAGAGCAACAGACTGGGCACAGAGAGGGACTGCTTCTCCCGGGATAGGTGGCAGATCAGGGAAGCACAGTGTGGCAAGTCTGCGACCCTGCCGCGGTGCACCTTCCCGGCTCCTCTGTCCAGAGGAAGCTTGCGGCAGATCGTCTCCTGTCCTCCCTCTTCTGGATGTTTCCTGGGTTGTCAAGTCTGGTCCCTGATGTCTTTCTTCCAGACATCCCTGTGTTCCCACAGCCTCTGGGTTGAGAGAAAGCTAGCTGGCCCTGGATGGCTGAAAATGGGGGGACACATGTGGGGCCCCAAGGCTCGTCCACACCGCTTCCCATGGAAGACGCTCCCAGCAGAACTGGGTGTGCTTGCTTGTTGGGGAGAGGCTGGGAGTCGTCGGAGGAAGGAGCAGTTGAGCAAGTAGCATTGGGATTCAAGGAAAGAGATTTAATAGCTAGGGTTGGGATGATATTTTCCCTCTCTGGGCGAAGTCTGAGACATTTGGGATAACCGGCCTTGTTTGTGGCCTGGGTAGAGGTGGTAGCAATCCTTTTGGCTTCCATTTTCCCTATGTGTCACCTACCTGTGCCTGTGTGACTCGTGTGCTGGGAGGAGCTGACCCTGGACTGGGCGGGAGCAAAAAGGGCCGCTTGATCTTTCCTGCTGCCCCTCTGGGCGCCTTCTTGCCTCCCAGGATGCCTCTGGCAGCATCCCAGGCCTCTTCCAGTGGCAGCACCCCATGGTCCAGGTCAGTCCTTTCTTTCCCTTTTATACTTCCCTGAGTTTTCTGAGCTGTTTTCCTCTCAGACCCAATGCTGCCTCCAGAGAAAAGGGAGTAGTTCTGTTGACCTGCAGGAATCCTTTCTGGGGTGTGGTTTTAGGCAATGTGACCTGGGGCTGTAAAGGAGCCGTTTCTGCTAAGGAGGTTGTAGGCTTCTAGATCACATAGATCACAGATCACAGCCCTGTATGTGACCCTGCATAGTGACAGCCTGCACACTAGGACAGGTGGGAACATTTTCCAGAATTAGAACTGAAACACATGTTCTTCCCACTGCACATGCGGTAAATGTCACAGATGGGGCCCGTCTGATCCTGTCCCCATAAGTTTCTTCCTTTTTTTTTTTTTTTGAGACAGGGTTTCTCTGTGGCTTTAGAGACTGTCCTGGAACTAGCTCTTGTAGACCAGGCTTGCCTTGAACTCACAGAGATCCGCCTGCCTCTGCCTCCCAAGTGCTGGGATTAAAGGCATGCGCCACCATGGCCCAGCTAAGTTTCTCCCTTTTAATGCAACTCTTTCCCATGGTCTCTGTACTGAGCTATGGGTTCATGGCTCCTGCATGGCCTGCATGATCTCAGGTCCCTAAGGACGAGGCCACCCATGACTTTGGAGCTATGTAACTGTTGCTCAATCCAGCTTTGTAAGCATAGACTTAGGTTTCTCCTTAATATCCCTTTACTAAGAAGTTTTGAAAAAGCACGAGGCAAGTAGCCCTTTGGAAACTGAGAAAGTCTAAGCCTAGAGCTAAAAACATGTCTTTCTTCTCCTGCTTGCCACACCTATTATACCAGCCTTGGCTTGAGTAAGAGTTGGTTGGTTTCTTTCTTGTTCCCAAGCGACATCAGTGTCCACCCCTGAGGTGTCTCAACCCTCATTGTGGATTGTGAGAGTCACTTCCTTGGAGACTTTCTAGGGCCAGGCATCAGAGCCAGAGGCTTCAACCCTGCCCTGGAGACAGAAGGGGACAGAGTTCCAATTCTGCAGACTCAGCTGCTCCAGGGTCCCTCTTTTTCTCCACACCACGGCTGCTTAGCAGGTTCTAGAAAGCTCTGGCTCTGGGGGCTGGAGAGATGGTTCAGTGGTTAAGAGCTCTTCCAATTCCCAGCAACCACATGGTGGCTCACAGTCACCTATAATGGGATCTGGTGCCCTCTTGTGGCCTGCAGGTGTACATGCAGATGGAACACAATATACATAAAATAAACAGAAAGCTGGCCACTTGCGTGCCCTCTCCTTGGAGAGTTTAAGTTTATATTCAGTAGGCTAGTGAGTTGCCTGTTGACAGGGAACAGAATCTGATCCTGGCCAAATATACCTCAGAGTCAGGAAGTCCAGATGGTGGTCCCAGGAGTGTCTGCCACTCCATCACGAGGCTGAGGAGAGGCAAAGGTAGAGCGGGTGGGAACTGGGGGAGGAGCCTAGTGACTCTTGCCTCCCCGGCCTCTGGTGTCTGATAGCACAGTCTCACGCCCTGTTCTGTTCACCTTCTCTGTTGTAAACCAGAGTCATGCAGAGCCAGCAAACACAGGTCACCAGGTCCCCACCCCCTCACCACCACACCAAAGCACCCAGGGCTCTGGCTTCATAGGCCAGGGCCGGAGGATGGCATCCTGCTGACTGAATCGAATGGGTGTGAGTGTGTTTGAGGTTCGGAAGTTAATTTGGTTGATCACAAACAAGTGTAAGAAGTGGATTAACAGAAACTGCCTGCGACCCAGAAATAGCTGCGGTATCCCCTGTACTGAGCCTGTTTCCTCCTCACCTGGAAGATTAGATGTAAATGGTTTCATGACTCTGCAATGACCTCATAAGAAAACCTAAAAATGTCCCTGTGTCCGGGCCCTGTCCTACCTACAAAGCAGGGGATCATGGGCCTGGGACCAAGACCCTGGTTGGAGCAGCCTCATCCTGTGCATGGACTGTTCTTGGTCCCATGGGACACAGTTCAGCTGTAGTGGGATCTGGAAACCCCTGAGGCTCCTCCAGACTTGGAGGGGGGCAGGCTGGAGCTGGGCTATGGTGTCTTCCAGTTGCCCTGCTGTCCTCCTAGGCCTCCCAACCTGCTGCAGAGCACGCTGCTAAGAAGCAAGGGGCTCGCTGTGTTTGGGGGTCTTGGGGAAAAGGAAAGCCTGAGCTGTGGGTCTGAATGTTGTGTGTAAAAGCAGACTTGAAGGTGGGGGTGGGGGTCCTGTCAGGCAGGCTGTGTCTGCTTCCCTTGACCTTCTCTGTCAATCGGAGTGCACTGAAACAGGGGTCCCATCCTCTGGAATCTGAGGGTAAGGTTCAAGGAAAATTGCTGCTTCTCTGTCTTTAATATTAAAGGTCTGGTTTCTATGGTTCTATAGCCCAAGCAAGGTCTAGATCTGAAGACTGCAGGAGGGGAATCGTGGGAGGTCTTGTTCTTGATCCTGGGGGAGTGATGAGAAGCTGAGGGGTAGAGGGAAAATCTTCCTGGCTCCGTTGGCTGCCCTCTGGCACCAATATGGCTCCTTCAGGGAGTATAGGATCTCCTGAGCCCGGCACTTGCCCTCTTTTTTGGGGGGAGGGGGTGTTTCGAGACAGGGTTTCTCTGTGTAACAGCCCTGGCTGTCCTGGAACTCACTCTGAAGACCGGGCTTGGCCTTGAAAACTCTGATATCTGCCTGGCCGAGTGCTGGGATTAAAGGTGTGTGCTGCAACCATTGGGCTTACTTGTTCCTTTTGAACTCTTCATGACTGTGGATTTTGGTATACGGAGTATAAAACTGAACACTCAGATGCTGCAGCCCATCCATCTCAATGTGTCCGAGTTCTTTTAGACCTTCATGACCTGGCTGAGTATACATGTGCCTATGTCCATGCATGTGTTTGATGTAGTTTGTAGTTTCCAGCGTTGTATATATAATAACCTACTTATTTATATGTAAGTACAGAATTGGCACCTGTGACAGTTTCCTGTATTTTAAACTTGTTGAATCAAATTAGTTTTCCTTCCCAGGAGGTGTCAGAAGGACTATTCCAAAGTCATTCTTTAGGAATATTAGTTGTGGTTTCCCAATGAGCCTTCAGGATGCCCTTTTCAAATAAATGTTAATGTTGTCACCATATGGCTGTCTGCTTGAATTCTTAAGAGGAAATGGCTGGGGTGTTTTTTGTTTTGTTTTAGGTAAATCAGATTCTGGAAATATCAACAGTGTGCCATTGGCATTTCACCGCCCCTGCTGTCCTTTGCTTTACCTGGGTCTAATGAAGGAGGAGGAGGAGGATGTTACGGAGATGGGAACTTGAAGACGGGATTCCCCTTGAGGGAGCATCCTCAGGAGGGCCCAGGCCGTCCTTCATTCTTAGTTCATTTCCCACCACCCACGTTAGGGAGAGCCTAATCGAGTTTCTGACTCTCCTCGCTCCAGGACTTTCAGGGCTCATCATGTTTTTGTGAACTCCTAACAGATGTAAGGGGTAATGAACAAATACACCAGGCTTTGTTTAATGTGTGTAGCCCATGGGTGTCTAATGTAAGTAACAGGCATGTGTCCATCCCCTGTAATTGTAAACACAGGATTGCACACAAAGACACCACACGGAGACAGAAGCAATGTAACACAAGGCTGCAGAGCTTGGAGTTTCTCCAAGAGGGAACAAAACAGACACACAGCAAGTAACTTGCCGTCCTGGCGGGACAGCACACCCTCCATCACAGAGGGAGGTGACCGCAGAAGCTCTGAAAATGAACAGGGCCACTGGCCTAATAGAGGCTTGCACTCAAAGAGGCAGGATTCTGAAAGGTGGGCAAAGGAGGCATTGGGGAGGGGGTCCAGGCAGTGAAGAACTGAAGGATAGCAATGAGACCAACAGTCATGAAACAGGACCTTCATTCCAGGAAACATGAGCTAAAAAGCTTGGTAGGAGAGTAAACATGGCTGCCATGAGCTCTACATACTTTGCCCCAAAAGTTTGCGACGGATGGGAAATTGGGATGTAGCCGACACTGTTTTGGTTGGTGGGCCAGGGACTATAAGACCAACAAGCTCTTTTTAAATACAAGTATTCGTGTGAATAACTTGCATAGGCAGGAGCGACTGGAGAGCAGTTGGTTAATGCGCTAGGATAGTGGCGGTCTTAAGCGAGAACTTGAGAATAAAGGACTGAAGTTGGGCAGAAGCAGGGAGAGCTGGGGAGACCCCGAATGGTAGGAAGCCAGCGCCCTCAAGACTTGAGCCTGAGGGATGGTGTGCATCTATCTATCTCCATGGTGAATACAGATCATGTGTCGAATACTTGTGAATAGCCGAATTGAAACTGCTTCCAACCCTCAACTCTCACATTTTCCTGATAAAATGATGTCGTCTCTTTCTCCCTTTATCCTTGCCAGAGCTCTTATGCCAAGAAGGGCCAGTAAGATAACTAAATCCTGGGAGGGTTCAGGGACCTGACTGAGGTCAAAGATGAGGACTCAATATGGCAAGCAAGGAATGTCTGAATGACAGCCCAGAGCTCTTTCCAACGGGGCATGCGCGTTAGTGGTGCCACCCTAAGGTCACTCTTGTAGGAATCCTGCATTGGGGCCAGGCTGACAGCTAGGCAGCCGTCCTAGGACAAAGAACAACCCTGAGCCCTCCAAACTATCTGCCTCCCCCACTCCCACCCCGAGTCATTTGCTGGGGCAAGTGGGTAGAAGTTTTTGTTTGTTTTTTTTTGGAGTTTTTATGCACTGCCACTTGGTCACATGCTAGTGTCACTGGATGGCTGTGTGTTTTGACTTCATTCGCGTGCGGTCTCTAATATTGAAGGTCGGAGCCGTTTGTGAAATCTGAAAGGTTTTATTTCCTAACTACAGGCAGCTCTAGGAGGCTTGAGGTCTGGCGAGTGGCTCGCCCATGCAGGGAGGGAGCTTGGAGTGAGAAGACCCCTGCGCCCTCACTGGCCCTTCTTGTGCGCGTTCTTGACGATGGCATTCTTAAAGAGTGTCACCAGGGGCGTCTGGCTCTTCTCGGAGGTCATGAAGCCGCCGTAGCGCTTGTCCTTGGGCGGGCTGCCCCAGCGGAAGCGCTCCACCCGATAGGGCCCGTCTTCCTTCTCGGCGTCCGCCTCCAGGACGCGCTCCAAGCCGTCGGGCCGCTCGCCCGCCAGCTCCCTCCGGAACTCCAGAGGAAAGGCCTCTGCTGACTCGTTCTCGGCGACGCTGGGGTACACCTTCACTGGGCGTCGCTTCTTGCCCACCGGCTTGCCCCAGCGGAAGTGCTCCATGGAGTAGGAGCGCTTGCCCTCGCGCAGGCCGGGCTCGGCGCGAGCATCTTCCACCGCCACAGCATCCTCCTCCTCCTCCTCCTCCTCCGCGCGCCTCTGCTGCGCCGCGCCGCTGCTGTTCCTCGGGCCGAAGCGGTCCCAGCGGAAGTGACCCATGACGTACTTCCGGGGGTTCTCGGTCAGCGTCTGCTCGTCCCCGTTGCCTGGGAACACGGGCGTCTCCGCGGAGAGGTCGGGTTTGCAAGCCCGGATGCAAGCCTGTGGGAGAGCCCGACGCATGAGCTAGGCTCTTCGGCCACCGACCCCTGCCCTGGTCTCAGAGCCACTTCGGGCCTCGAGGCCTTTGTGCAAGCACATGGACACCTGCACGTGGCGGGCACCGCCCACCCTCCCCACCCCACCCCACGGCCCCTCCTCGGTCCCACCAATGCCCTGCACAAAGCTGTTCTTGCCCTTGCATGATTCTGCCTAGACGGCAGCAAGCACCCCGACCCACCCTTCCTTGTTTGTCTTCCTTAGCTCTTACGGGGGGGGGGGGGGGCGCTTGCTATCATATGCGGGGGTGTTGTCACTTAATGATGGCAAAACTTCCCTGCGTCTGCTAGGTTCTTTACTCTGTGCGTTGGTCTTGCATTGTCTCAATCAGAGTTTTGAGTCAAGTTGGTTCATTTCCACCTCATTCTGATTGGATGGCCAAGGATATTTCTACCTCTGCACTCTGGCCCTAGAGCATTCAATTTGGAAGCTTTATTTACCCAAAGGCTGCATCCTTAAGTTGTTTTTTCTTTGTTTGTTTTTAGATCCTTGGAAGTTGCTGAGAAAAAAAAAAAAAAAAAAAACAGAAGGATCCCAGCCAGTCTTCATAGTTGAGGGTTTTCTACACCAGGCATTTGGAATTATAATACTGCAGAATGCTAACAATGGATGATAAAAGCAATGTAATTTAAGTTCCTTTTCCCCCAGGACAGATAATGAAGTAGGAGGTGATCTCAGAAACAGAAAAAGATCTGATAGAGATGTCCCAGCTGGTTGGTGTCAGAGGTGGGGGACAGACCTACGGACTCTGACCTTGTTTGGCACCCTCCTCCCCCCTTCTCTGGCAAGATCTCCTCGGGAAATGCTATGCAGTGTGTGTCTCAAATCAACGGTCTTGGGTTTTTCTCAACTGATCTCCCAAAGAGCTCCTTGGGCTTGCCAAGTCTAAAACACATTGTACAGGACCCTTGCTCTTATGTCTCGAGGAGGTCTCTCCCATCACCTAGTCTCAACTGTCTATTGATTAAACAAACAGGATATAGAGTAACAGACACCCGCAGGCACCAACACTTGTGTGCACACGTGCTCATGTATGCCCTGTGGTGACCTGAAGGAGATCCAGCCTGTCCCAGAGGGCTTTTACATGCTTCTGGGAAAGACTGGAGAGGAACTTGGCAGGAAGCCTGCCTTCTAGAAGCAGCATGAGATATTTGGCACCAGGTACACACACACACACAAGGGAAAAAAAGTACTTTGGTTTTCCCTTCTCCCTCTGGAGATGTTGTATGAAAATACCTAACCGGTAATGGCTTTGTAACTGGGAGGAAATAAAGAAATAGGAAGTGAAATTGTAAGTTTTCACCGTCTAAAGGGGGCGGGGCTAATTGGAGAGCTATAGGGTTGAAGATGCAGGATCAATTAAGGGAGCAACAATGGTTATGGCACTGTCTAAACTGAGCATATGGTAAGGGGTTTTCAGAGTGGGGAGTGAGGACAATAGAGCAGAAATCGTGGATCAGATCCCTTTTCTCTGAAGCCACCTCCTCCCTCGCCTTTGCCTAATTCCAGCCTTATAGGAAAAGTTCTGAAGCTGCTCCTGAGCCACTGCAATCAATGGAGATGCATTTCCCTGTCCCTACACTGCTCTTCCTTTTTAGCTGTTCTAAGCCCAGTGTCATCTTCTACCCAAACGGAGGTGGTGCCCATTGTCCACATACCAGCAGGTTGCTTTCAGTGGTGAGGTCCTGACACTGTCTGCTCTCCAGGCACCAGCCCCACACTTCCACGGAGGTCTGAATCAGCAAGGCCAGTAGCAGGGCCCCTGAACGACTGTAGAAGGATCTCGGCATCTTCCAGGTGACAGGCTGAGACTCTACAGAGGCAAACAAGATTGGTGGGACCCCTGCAAGGAGCAGAACAATGTTGGCTAGTCACCAGGAAGGACTGCCGGCCAACACTAACAGCTCTCGCTGGCACAGTCCAAGGCTTTCTGAGGACAGGAGCAATGTTCAGAAGCTGCAAGATATTCCCAGGGCTATCACACGAGGGATAAGAGAAGAGCTCGACACAGCTGGGCAGTCCCCCTCCGTATTTCCTACTAAAAACCAGACCCTTAAATTAGAAATTAAAGATGAGGCTATTTAGGGAGGTCACATGGCCCAATCCCTCATTTGAGAGGTGGGAACACTGGAACCCAACAAAAATTATTTCTTTGTGTTCATGATGAAGTAAAGATAAGTTCTCCTGCATTCCCAGAGCGCCTTCTAAGTGTACAGCCTAAAGCTACAGTTCAACACTCCATCTCCAGTGGGTGGGAGTAAAAAAAGAGACATTATTATGACATTCCTGGTCTGGATCCTGTCCCCTAAACTTTGATCATTTCCTATGCCTTTGAGGCTTGAATACAGGTAAATAAACCAGTTTTTTAGTCCAGGTCTCAGGCAACCAGTTTGATGTCCTATACACAGATCGCCTGGTGATTGCCATGTATCTCCAACACCCTGATAACTTTGGGAGGATATTTTTTCCTGGGTTTTTTGGTTTCCAAGACAGGATTTCTCTGTATAGCCCTGGCTGTCCTGAAATTAGCTCACTGAGACCTG